CATATATATAATTTTTTTGAGAGAGTAAATAACCGTTTTCCACAACCGGAACCATTATTTAGCTATATTATTGAACATACATATGATCATATTGCATTTCTTCGAACAAGTTTCAAAAAAAAAGAAAACAGTGTATAGATCAACGCGTATTTGGTCTATTTTCTTGTCAAAAAATAGATATATCTATATAACAGCAGCCTATGTTTTGCATAGCAACTTCCTGTGATTATCAAATTCAACATTTATGTCTTCGCTGATCGCAGACGAGCGAAAATAAAGTACAAGTTCTTAGGGTAAGATGACTGCACCGGGCCGGAGTCGTCCTCGAACATATTCGTGAAACGACGACACGTCGGATCAACAATCAGCGATATATCATCGTCATAATTAACTAAAGATTTTACACAAACCAAACTCATCGGTTGCAAATAAGCAAAGGATTTTTGTATCTGAGATAGGCCCAACACCAGCAGTTAGCAGCAACCGTGTCACACGAAAGGCTCTATAATAGTTCCCTAAAGTTAACACCGGTTGGAATGCCTCGATTTAATCATCGCCGTCAGTGGGATAGCAGAACTGAATCTTGGGACGGACCGATTTGACGAACAGAAACCGAAACCGAAAACAACAACAACAACAACAACAACAGCAACAGCAGCAGCAGCAGCAACAACAACAAAAGATTTGCTGATGTATCTAAGAACAGTGATCAAATCCCTTATTTGAGCCAACAGCTACTAACATAGAGAGAGAGGAGAGAGAGAGAGAGAGGAGAGAGTGCGACATCTTAGACACTGCCCAACCGCCCTCTTAAAGACTCGAGTTGTTTTCTTCCAGAAATAACAATTTTTAACACTGTTCCGCCCTGTGTCATCAGATCAGCTAGGGCAGCTTGGTGCGTCCAGCGGATTATGAAATAGAAAATGGAAACAGAATTTTTTAAGCGCGTTTTGAAACGATGCAATTGATGCAGTTAACCAGACAGACAGAAATGAACGTAGACACACAAAACATATCACTTGTTAGAAGGTCATCGACTTATAACGCAGAGATATAACACAATTCTGTTGGTCCAATGAATCACTTCAGTTCCTTGTTACTGTGATTGAAAAGCGCTTGGAAACGCAATCTGCTTCGTGTCCCTGCCCAAAAGATCAGCCGCCTTCCCAATTGAGAAATATCATCGGTCATTGTTTTACTACTTCAGGCCATATATCGAACGGAATAATGAATTTTATATACAGAAATTCCTAGCATGGCTAAGATAACTGCAACAATAGGTGACGAACGTAAACATCGTCAAACAAAGTTGAATTTCCAATTCGCTCGATGGCGTTCATGGCGGTGCTAATTTGATGATTTCGACACGAGCCTTCTTAGACAGTGTTTGACCACCCTGTGACTGACGAGATTCTTGAGGCACAGAGGTACCTTGAGTATGTTCTATTGCTACTAATTCTTTTGTATTTAGTTGTTGCTGTTGGCCTGCAGGTTCTTGAGTGGCTGGGCCTCGTGTAATGCTAATCGTTATTCGCTTTGACATTAAAACGAAATCGGTCATTCGCTTCCGAGCTTCTTCTGGCCGGTAGCCTTCTTTTTGACGCTCCTGTACGCGCGGCATGGTCATTGCAAACGTCTCAATCAAAGCGTCAGGACAACTACAGTCGTGCACCTCTCGCAGATGTCGCTGTAGAAGTGGCGCGGCGATCGTCACCTACAAGATCAGAACGTAGCAGAAGCACGTGATTTATATTGTCATTCTTAATTACAGACAACGCAAAATTTGGTTTTTAGTCCAAACGGCAAAATAAAAACAGTTTTCTAATAATAATTTCAGCACAATTGCACCGCACGATAAGGTAGGATACTATAATTTGCCGCCGCCGCCGCCGCCGCCAACAACAAGATCCTCAAGCAAAAATGAACGATACTCATATTTCGATAGTAAACGAGATAAAACACCTTGTTAGCATGATGAGTTGATATAGAATGTAGTAGTTAGCACCCCTGTCCGTGCAAAGATCCTAATTATTTAACTAGGTATACCTCTCCACAAATTTCGCAGTGGTAGTATAGCTGTTGTTTCGTGTGGTACTCCGAATGTTTGAGGAGTTCTTCGGGAGTCTGGTAGAACTGTTTACAGACTCGGCATTGCAGAGGATCGAGTGCGCACTCCCTGCGGTGAGCGAGAAGGTCCGAACGTGAGGGGAATGTTCGACTGTAGTGGCAGAGAGCGCAGGTAAATTGTCTCCGAGGGTGTACACGTTCAATATGAGCAGTCATATCGTCCTTCGACGATACGCTCAGGCCGCAGTAGTAACAGCTACGTTCGAAACGAAGTAAAGGCAGATGCTCAATTGAGATGCTACGAAATGTGTCACCATGTATACTATTACTCGTATGAATAACATAATAATACAAAATATGCGAAAAAAAAAAATATCAGTCATACACGACGCCTGACTTAGATACACATCAATAGCTGAACGTTTCTTCATCACTCAGTATTTCGCAACGTATTCCTGTGCACATTGGCATAAGACGACGTATCGAGGCCTGCTAACGGCCTTCACTGCGTTATACGTCCAAATGATTATCGATTGATGTTAGACATCGAGCAATAGTTAGCGTCTAGTCCTACCGAGAATGAAACAGCACTCTTTAATCGAATGCTGCTAAGTTAAAAGACTGACAAAAATGGAAACGTTTGCAGACAAATCGCGCACCAGCTATTTTGTGTACGGTGATTTTTTCGATGGCCTATGTACTTTCGATGAGTTTCGAGCACCTTGCCACAGAACTCGCAGGGAAAATGGCCGCGGTGCTGCAGTAGTTCGTGGGAGGCCAGCGAGTCGCGGGTCTGGAACAGTAGCTTGCATTCTGCGCAGGGATAGAGTTGGTGTACCTGCGAAATCATAAGTCAAAACACAGCTCCGATTGAATCGACTGGCTATTCTGCTATACGCTAACTACGATCGATACAAAGTGAATTTCTATAATATCTGAAAGCAAGCTTTCGTGTGAAGTGGCGAACGTCTGCTTCAGACTCGGTTGCTCATACATCCACCTGCTAACAATGCCGAGCAGTCTAAATGGTACTAGCAACAAACAGGTGCTAGTATTTAGCTAAAGAGAGCTTGTTGATTTAGATAACTAGTTGTATAGAATACAAGACGATTTTGGTTGAGATACGTAATTATCAAGGTTAAGGAATCACTCCCAAAAGGGATGCCAATTGATAAAACTTTTCGTTACCCTCTGCAAATGAAAGTTGAGTTGTACTGCCGAAGTAGAAGACGCTTCACACAGATGACAACCGTAAACCATTCGACTGGTAGTACCAAACGAAGTTACCGAATTGTTTGGCTGGAAAGTGAACACATGCTCTCATAAAAATACAGCTCAGTAAAAGCCCACATCTATTGGACCTCCACACACGAATAGTTCAGGGTCAACGCATATATATAACATAAATCAACATTTGTTAGCTGCCAATGCATGGTGACATTGAGTACAGAAGACTTCAAATATTCAAAGTAACACCCACTAATACTACTTCAATTGCTTCTGTTCGACTAAAAACTGTTGTGCATGTTAGCATCTTGTATATGTAACCGCAATCTGCGGTGTTTTTTTACCATTGTTGTGAATAATAATAGATCACTGAACGTCCCTACGCAGTTCGTTCTCGCCGACTATGATGATTCTTTCGTCTTTAATATCGCCTTCATTTCATTGAAATTAGATAACTAACGCGGTATATAGATGGCACCCTAAGGTTTAATAAATAGATTTTTACCTGGGAGTTACTGCTCTCCGAAAAAACACTAGTAGTTTTACCTTACTGGTAATTTCTTCTCCATCGCTACCCACGGGAAAGAAAGCTGGCTTCGGTGTCGAACGAGTCTTCGGAGTTTCATCTGCAATTAGCTGAGGGTGCTTAAACTGCCCCTGATGGGGCTGCAGTTGTTGGAATTGCGGTTGTGAGTCCTTACATGACGGGTAGATCTGGGTAATGCAGAATAGATCGGGCGAAGCGTTTATCACGTTCGGATTTACGTCCATCTGAAGCGTTCAGGATACACAACACATTCCGTATGCTTTACTTACCTATCTTACATCTTTGCATGAAGAATGTTACGGTTGAGATTTTTATTATGCAATTATATAACTGGGGGACGGAGGGGCTGTTAGCTAGACTAGAATATTATACACAAGACGACGTCCATAGAAATACGTTTTGACGATGGCCATTGCCAGCGCTCGTAACGGTCTTGCCGACTTGCATTGATATTCTGTGCTAGACTATTATAAATACCCTTACGAGCGAAAAAAAAATCCGAATTTTGTATACAATCATTTGACGTGATTTGGGTATGCAGGTATTGATGGCGCCTCCCTTTGAATGTAGCAATGCGAAAACTCGCTGTAGGTAATATGCTTGTATCGCAGATGTCCACACGTTAACTGTATGGTAAACGTCTCCAACACATTGCACATATGGAAATTTTTAGCTTTTTAGGCAGAGGCCCAATTACTCAAACCACCGCGACGTGTATGTAATCATCACGTAAACCACAACACGTATAGACAAGTGCGCGGATTTTGCGTTGCCCTTATTCTACCTATGCGCTCAAAGAGGGCCCTGGTACGGGGAAGTTGCATCAAAGTTAAGGACCTTTGCTCATTCGACTCTGGACATCGAATGTTCCGGTAACTGTGCTCTACACTGTGCAGTTCAGTCAGCTGTGCCACCCTCCTACGTTCGCCTGTCTCTACACAAGCAGTCCAATAGAAATTGTTTAAACAACGTAGCGGTTTTGGTCTATGCATGTTGCCAAGACAGATGATATCTTTCGGTCCGCCAGCTGGCTGGTAGCTATCAGTGATTTCAGAACGACTTACTAATAAACACGCGTTTATTAAATGCTTCGGTCCGCGCTAAAATGTACAGCATTTTTATTAAGTTTCAGTCGCTAGCGACAGGCAAGGGTCTTCGGTCTTAAAAGTAGATGTGTAGCCAGTGTTTTCGAACATCCGATAGTGCAAACGACAATGGTAATCTAATTTGATTCAAATCTCTTGATACGGAGGGTGTCTCAAGACAAATGACAAAATCGATTAGGTCATTGGACAAACTTACTTACCTTGTCTGTTCTGTGACCATATTATAATTTGCTAATTTTTACCCTATTTAATTTAGTAGTAGAGGGTTTAGCGTGAAACAGACAAACAAGCACCTTTCGAATTCGCCAAAACATTGGGTACTCGCTATTCATAAGTAGTTTCTTATACATTTCTAGCAGCGGCCGTAGATTTGCCTGTGTATTTTGGCTGGCCTTTCAAAGTTCTACCGCTTTCTTATATCACATTGCGCCCTAAACGCTGCAAACATAAAACAAATGCGACGATTAAAATTACTTCGCGATTCTGTCCACAGCAATGGCTGTTCACTAGAAAAAGAAATTGTCTCAGAAGAGACAAATGCATCTTACCGTACCGGAACATCTATTTACAAATCGATAACACCGTGCAATTGACCTATTGATAGCCATATTGGCTTGCCCTCTTTGATCTGGCGTTATGTTTACCAATGTAGCCGAGGAAACAAGTGGCACTTATTCTCGTACCATGCACAATGAAGAAATCTCAAAACACAGAGCGTCGCGACTGACAGATTTGTCTACAAATCGACCGTCGGAACTTGATTCGAGCCGTTCAGTACTTACTGTGTGTATATTACTATTATTTCTACTGAAAGTTGGATTTTGTCCAACTTTTCGTTATCTTTTGTCTTTTTTCAACTTTTGTGGGAACTCTTCCAATATTGTGGATTAGAATATAGGATATATTCGTGCAGTTAAATCGACCGCTCACAAGACGTTATTGGAGTCACAATTTTCTCTCTAAGTGCGCATGAATGAGCAGACAGCTCAGAAAGCCAATCGGAACATATCGTTGAATTGTCTAAACGTAAGTAAATTCTGTAAGTCATTTACCTGTTTCATCGGGTACGCTTATAACAATGGCTGACACGAACATATGGTTTCTGCTAAGTTTTCGAAGCTCTTTGTGCGAGCAAGCTGAGTCAACCTTTGGACATGTATAACTTGTAAATCAACATATTCTGTTGGCTGGAACATCGATGGCGACTACGCAGCATTAACACTGCTGCTATTATGAGCAGAGTCACAGAGCACATCTGCTAGCGTATGTTAAGTTGTTACCCAGGAAACCCCTTATAGGTTCGAAATGTTCCAAACAGAAAAAGCAATATATTGCGTGAAATTTTTCCCTGTTTTGGACTTTACGTAGTCGCTAGATAAACGATTCAATAACGAATGCGTTAAATTGGCGATAAGCTGTATACATATTTTTCCTGTACAATATGTAAAACATCCCGATTTATTATGATTGTTAAATATAAGGCTATCACAGGCCTCTATTTTAAGGACATCCTCATTTGCTGCCATTTATTATAAATCTATGGGTCTAGGTTCTAAGGCATAATCCAACTAAGCGTTTACAGATAGAGTGAAATTATGATACTCAAAAAGACGACTAATCCATACAATTTAGTGATTGTTTTTATTTTGTTAGAAGTAAAGTTAGGACATAATCGGTTACTGGTAGGTGTTTTAGCAGTCGACATGGTGGACCAGGTTTCAAGACTTCATATTTACACGTTTAAAACTGAAATCTCTCATTTATCCCACTAGAAATCCATATGATATACCCACTTCGATGCATCTATATTATGAGATGTCGGTTAGAATAAATATACATAGAATAAATATTTGCCTACCTTCTCTAGTGACGACCCTGTCGCTAAAAAAACTTTTTTACGTACGTTAAAAGGTACGGTGATAAGAAAAACAGCTACCGCGGCTATTAGTTAGTTCTACTGCTTCTGACTTGCCATGCCCCAAAAGCACTTTCGTATCATCCCCGTTAGGCCCGGGTCCGGGGCCTGTCATTGAAGCACTATGTTCTTCAGTTCGTGATCTTCTGATTCGGCCTTTGACATAATTCCACATGCTTTCGCTCGGATTGAAGTCAAATGAATTTGCAGGCCATGGCAGGACCTGAATATGACCAGCAATAACATTTCAGGGACACATTTTGCCCTTTCGCATAGTGACTTGTCATACATAGTTCCCAACCGAACACAATTCTCCCCACAATTCTGTCCCATCTAGGGCAGCGTCTTTCGTTTGAATTATTGTCTCACTGTATTGTCTTTTTGCCATAGTCCTGCTGAGGAAATATCAGGCTTTTGGTATCACTTTGGAGCGTTTTATGGAGACCGTCGTTCTTCCGGCACGGTTAAGGAACTGTTAAATTTTTTTTTGGTTCCGTTAGAATGACTCTATCTCCCCACTGCGCTACGCACCGTTTGTTATTTTTGTTTTCTGGTTTTCTCGATGACCGAGTCGGCTTATCATTCACCTTTTGTATTATCCCATTGTCAACTCTACAGTCCGATATTGCGATCGATTCTTCCACCAAATTCTCTTTGCGTTCGCTTTTTTTGTATGAATCTAACTATAAAAAATCGCAGCTCTTGCATGGAATCTTTCCCAAGTCACACTTCAAGTTCACATGTAGTAACAAAAGTACAAAAATTAACTTTAGTATGGCTCGTGATGAGAGTAACGATAACTGCTCTACGATACCTCGAACCACCTTTTTCTCTCCATGAGCGAAAGAGGACGGAATCAGGTACCTAAGTATAGTGGCCCGAATATTCCCGCACGTTGTTCATACATGAACAGCCATTACACCACGCGTCTTAGTAGATGCTTCTTTAGCGACCGTCTCACTGGAATTGCAGAGCGAGGCAACTTTCACATAAAAACACATACGTTCATTTCGGGCGCGGGTATAGTGTATGAAAATTCTGGTCTACGTATATGTATGTATGTATATAGTGTGCGACACCTAAAATGGGAAAATCCTTAGTGAGCTGTTTGCAATAACGGGTATGCATTCATCCGCTACAAGACGAAAGTTCGAAGGCCATTTCTTTCTACAACAAAACAACAAGCATGGCGAACAACGGTGCGTCGGTTTTGAAGTTTGAGGGAAGATCAATTATTATCGAATCGGTACGCGCTAAACAAATACTCATCGAAATCATAGCCCCGAAGCGACAGCGTACAACGTCGCGAATGAGTATACAGAAGAAGCAGAATCAGGTTCTAGCACAGCACAGAAAATCCATGGTAGAAAAAAAAAATATTTCGCAAAGCTGCTAACGAAGAAAGTGATGAAAATGAGCGTTCGGTGTTACGAAGTGCTCATGAAGACACGCAAAGTCACGCCATACTGCATACGAATCGACATGTGCTCTCTGAGGTCAATAAGGGTTTGACCGATGCTATATGCCGCTCAGTTCTTTCAAGAATAAAGCGTCGTCTTCGACTTCGAGCAGCAGGTTTTGTATTTCCGATACAAAAATGGTCCGCAGACAATGATCGCTAACGAATTTGCTAACAAGATGTTTTATCTAGTCCATAGATGCATGGATCATAGTTGTAGCTATGGCTGTGTAATAATGCAGTTGTAAGAACTGGCTTTTGCAGCTTACGGGCTGTTTGCAAGTATCAGATAGTCGTTCAACATATCTACCAAGTTCAGTGCAAAGGTAAACCAGCCTCAATCATCAGAAGTGAGATGCTCAAAGCTTTACGGCAAGTCGAATATTGTGGTCTTTTTTTATTTGGAACTTCCCCACTATAACTTTAGAAGCCATGCGAGCGTATTAGCACAAGTATCTTCAACGTTAACTTGAACTTTGCACAAATATGGTCCCGAATGGGTGCAATAATTTAAACATGACAAACTGACCCTCAGCCTGGATTTTACTCAAGCAGAGCAGACGCAGTACACTCCCACCCATATAATAATTAAGCGAGTTAAATAGAGCGTTCGTGTGTTCGATGCGTAAGTTTGGCTTCTTCATCTACTATATATACAGGGTGCGGTGTCTAAATTTTCTTATACTCCGTTTCTAGGATTCTGAAAGGGGGTTTCAATATCTGCTTTTGTTTCTGTTGCATGTGCTAGAAGCGTCATTGACAGTCATGACAACGTACGGCATAAAAGAAGCCAAAACTGCCAACAAAAACAAAAGTTGCAAAGAAATTTCGAAAAGACTAACCGTTAGAGCTTATTTAAACAATCCAGTGGGTAATTGACAGTATCCACTTTAAAACGAGCGTTAATTTTTGCATTATGAATCCAGGTATATTAAAAATAGCTCTTTGAGCCCCCTTTGTAGGTTTGTGGACCTCTTAAATTTAAACGCTATTGAAAATTTCTCGGTTTGCGTTACGCAAATCCTTTCCGGATTTACAGAAGTTACATCAAAACTGGCAGTTACATAGATTGTCGATTTCGGTCAAAAATATACAAATGTATATTTTTATAGAGATTGTATTGCGCGTGCCTGTGTAGCGTGAAAACATGTAGCAGCTCTGTATCCATCAAGATTAGATCCCAATAACCAACCGTCACCATTATTTTATTATAATGTACACCGCATTAAAATTTAATATATTAAAATTTTGCACTGCATGTTTAATTAATGATATTTATTTACAAATATAATTTCCCTTACCTCTATAGAAATGAATAAAATGGGTTTCATAGCAAAAGAGGGTGAGGCGGGGCCCGCGGTTCCTTACCATTGTCTGTCCTAAGAAATCTTCAATAATGATCTTGTCTTCTCAAAAATGAGCCCTCATAGTGGTTCTATTGGCCTGATTTTTTGTGACTTGTTCCAGGTGCCTTATAGAAAAAAACAAGGGAGACAATGAAGTCAATTAGGTAATTCCTTTTGCCCGTAAACGGTAAAATAATTTGCCCATGAAGTGTAATGCTAATTCGTTTTAACCATTACTCCGAGTACAGTTTACCGATGATAGTAACGCGCTAACTAAACATTACAATTCTGGCGCGTCTCTCAGCTCGAGATGTGGTGTTTCAGCACTATGTTGCGTAGACAACTTACACGCAAGGTCGACAACTAAATAATTTGTGCGCCCGAATTTTATTGCGTAAATAAGCCTAATGTATGCTACGTAAAACTTTTTCAGCCCGTAACCTAAAGCTTGTAAGGTTGTCGATTTTCGCTTAGCCAGTGCTTCACATTAGGTAAACCACACATTAGGCGATACGAATCAAATACTTCAGTAAGCTAATTACAGGAGACATGCAACGCGGATGCAGGATGTTCTACAGCATTCCAACGGGAAAAAAAATGACATGGAGAGACGGGGTATACGCAATAGGCTACCAAAATTAGTCACCTTCGAAGAGGGCACCGGAAGCAACTGTAAGGCACGAGGTCTGGATCGGGTAAGGTTTATACCGACCCCGCATGCACAGTCAGAATTTAACCTCGGTTTCGGAAACATATTTGAGAATTTTACGTTGCGTGAAGATGTACACTTCACGTGTTCTGTGTGAGCAGTTGTCTTTCAGCTATTTTATGGAAGCCATTAGGTGTTGCCCATTAAGCTTATTCGGGTATTCGCGCATAACGGGAACGTAAATGAAGTAGGATGTGTATGTCTTCATAGTGGCAGTTTAGAGTCCACTTGACCTTAATTATATCTTCAAACAGCACACGCTGTAAGTGCACTGACGGATTCATTGCAATCCAGTTAAGAGGTTTTTATGACACTCCTGCAGGAGAGAAAGGAAAAAAAATCATCCTATTAGGTTTACCAACCACTGCCTTAAAGAACATCATTGTCATATAGTAAAACTGAAAGGGAGCAACGGGATCGAGTGATCTGGGTGGTTAAAGCGCATCCCTTTGAGTGCGTCACCATAGCAACCATGAGCATGCGGCTTTCGCCGGTTCAGATTTTAGTGTAAGCAAGTGTTTACCATCCCGTTTTGGAAATAGGCCGGATAGGCCCAGCTAGACCAATTCCGGCTATTATAACAGAGTTATTGGGGAAGGGGGGGAGGATAAGTTTTTGATACCGTACCAAAAATTCCGTACATTTGTTCAGTACAGTTTTGATTGTTCAAGATGTTATAAAAAAATCATTAAAAAAAAAAAGATAACAGAATCACTAGCATAAGTAACAAATTGAGTCAACCAAGGACACTTGATTGATGCAACCAAATTTAATTGTAACGGTATAAAAGAATTAATGTAACACCGTTTCAGGAAAATTAAAACCGGAAGCCTGTAAAAGTATCTGTGCGTCATATGTTTGACTAAACGTAACGCGAAGCGAATAGTCTTGATAACATGATGAAATAATGTCACCGTGATAGCAGAACCATTGGAACATTTCATTGTGACTATGTGAAGTAGGGTGACTGCAATACCTAGACCAACTGCATCAAGGCAGTAATAGTAAGGTATCTTAGAGTAAACAACGGTTTGCTTGCACGGAGTAACGGATCGCTGCTGTAGGATTTCAGGAGAATCGTTGTACCTCTCCGATTGCGCTGTCATACTTTGTTTAATTCTGTGACAAATATTGATACAGGTCTTATCAAGTAACCTGCACACGGGTCACGGGTTCGGCGGCGCAGGACAACTGCAACGTTGACCCGTATTCAACATTGAGTTTCGGTATGACATGTTATATCTAAGTATCAAATTTGTGAATTTTCAACAAATTTAGCCGCCCATCATACGAGTTAACGCACCGTGTATGTACGGTTATCTATGTGTCGTCTTCATAGAACGATCGCCTTGAGTAGGTTCTTTGTAAGTCGCTAGAGTACCATCCTGGGATGACCTTCGCGGTGGATTGATATCCTTTTGTCTGGAGAACTTTCTCCCATAGTGCATATTACCAGCTTGACCTGACTCTGTGTTAGTAAGTTGTGCGACTATCGTTGAGAATTTGTGACATTTTTGTTGGCTTTACATGATCATTTTGAAAGTGAGTGGCGAGGTTCATGCCATGCGCTAATGGATTATCCCTAGGTTACTGGGGTGATGATACCAGCAGGTGATCACTATGGGACCGACGGTAGCAGAGTGATCATAATTGATCGGGGCGAAACCTCTCAGGCCATTCTAGTTTATTATATTGATATCTGTTAAACACGGGTCTTGAGTAGCGTGTTTGTTTTACCGGAAACGTGCATGGATTGTGCTGATTTCTAAGTTTCGCTTTGGAAAGCGTTATGTAACAGGTGAAGCTGATCAGAAAAACACTTTTGAAGTTTCTGCCCATAAAGCATGTTAATTCGGCTAGTTGTAAGCCGAAGCTAGCAACATCCTCGATATTTAAAAGTAACACTACACATCAAATTAGCCATCATGGTCGTTCGCACTGATGCATACAAATGTGTATTTCTGTAAAAACTGTTTGCATGTATAAGTGTCCTTAACGTGCGTTTCTTGAAAACCAAAATTCCAACTATATTATGGAAGAAGCTATTAGGTTATAGCTATTAGGGACTAGCTGGCCACTATTCGACGTTATCTAATCAGTTATCTACTCTTACACAGGTAAAATAAAATGTGGATAATAACAAAAGGCATAGAGCGAAACCCGCGGGTGGCACTTTGTATATATGTATCATATGGCACAAGCCTAAAAATTAGGCCTTCGCATAGGTCCAATATTGAAACGAACTGTCTATGATAAGGTTTTTCACTGTGTCTACGCCTCTGCTGCATGTTCGCCCATTGTTGCCATTACTTTCGCTAACCTGGTCACGTTGCGTTAACGGCTAGGAATTACTGGCAACATCGAGATCACGACTATCTGTAGAAGCAATACCAAGGGCCTCACCAGCTTGCGTGTCATCTAACTATCGATGACAGCTGCCCTCACTGATGAAATGCCCTTCCTCATATCAATCCACCGCTCGACTTGTGCTTAACTACCAAGAACAGTAGCAGAGTGTAGCAGTACCATATAAGAACATAGTTGTGTGCTTGTTGGCTTTGTAGAACAGCGGCAACTCTTAGGCAAAGTTTGTCAGCTTCGTACAAAAATACTATACCCTATTTGCTCTCTGTGGCTTGTCGTGTCAAATTGGATTCCGTACTTTATTGTTAGTATAGTTCTATTTAAAGATATTGGCTGCCACAGAGAGACAATGACAATGGTACATTACACGGTTAACAATAATCAGCTGGGTAAAGAGTTCGTATTGCAACAAAAATCTATGCACATTAATAATAACTCGTTCGTTTCATATCTCTTATCCAGAGTGGTCTACCCAGGGTGAGATAATTGCCGAAAGCGATATAGTCTTATGCCACTAGGATAGGTGCTCCGAAATATACACTAACTAAGAATACAAATGCAACCATTGAATCCCTTACTGTTGTTACAATCTGCAACATTGTCTTTTACATAATCTGCGTATAAACCAAACCTCTAGATATGAGTCCATTCATTTATCGCTAAGCCATTGCTATATCGCGTGCGGCGTCACACGTTCAAAATATGAAATAGATTTTGGACAAAGTCGATGACAGCACCACTAGCGAAGATCGATTAATGGTAATTCGTGGTGTTGACACAAGGCGCGTACCATACCATATTGAACAGCTAACATATGACTCTCTCTCCTCTTTATGGTTATTTCGATACGCATGGCTCGGTTCAACTATCCGCCTTTACCTTTGGCTCATGGTCGGCTACGGTCAAATATTCGAGAAGAAAAGCCTGAACTTTTATTTTTAAACGTCCAGCAAACACGAGCGCATCGTGAGGACCTCCGTGTTTCTCCAGATGATACCCATTCACCCCGCCGTCCTCAACAGCGAAGCAAAACTCACAATAAACAATTACAACAGTAATGGCAACGGCAACTTTAACAACAAATAACGGAGAGTCACAGAGCTCGCAAGTATTCCTCGTTCGTTTATGTACTTCAATTGCTGTAGCAGTAATAGCACAGCACATCGCAACGCATTCACAGCAAAAGCACTATTACAAATCAGTCACATAGTAAGCAAGCACAGCATAAACAGTAATAACAGCAGGTCTTGCGCAGAATCGTCTATTGTGCAATAAGAATAATAACAGCAACCTTGCGACATTCATTCATTCATTCATTAGATGGCTCTAGCTAGCTCACCCTACGGGCCTGGTTCAGTATGTCGATCCAAGAGCATCAGCAGCCGCCAGAGTGGAAATCGCCGCAGCATTAGCGGCTCGTTGTCTAACTCACTCACCCCTATTTTTTCGCATTTTCCTCTCCGTCTCCCGAACTTTTATCAGCCGTCCATGTTCGATGGTCTGTCGTTGGCAAAAACAGCGACAGTCGCCACCGCAGCCGCTACCGATACTACAAAGGCAACAACCATTCGAAAACATAGGCAACATTTATCCTTTGTCGACTCAGCGTAGATGGAAAGAGCCGCCCAGACGCTCGACCGTTTGACTGGTACGTTGCTGACTCTTCTGATTCATCTGACGATCGTCGGCGAGGGGAAAGTCAATGGGAGAGGGAAACGAAGTCGACAGCATCAGCAACGACAACAAAGTGCTAGGTAGGCTTACAATACACACACACACACGCAGACACCGATACAAAAACTCATCTTCTCATAGTAGGATGTTTCTCCTATTTAACACTAACTAACAGTAACTAGCGCACGGGTTATTGGGAACACGCTTGCCATAGTCTAATGGCAGTCATGCGGCCGCTCCAGCACTCTCGTCTCGGGATTTTTCCCGCGGCCATTACCACGGCCGTGTCCTCGGCTCGTTAGCGCCGTTGGCGCGCTGATAGCACAACAGCCACGCTAGACATGGGACGGAGAACCGCACTATTTGTTCCATGTATCACACGTCACATAGAAATATACATGTCAGCAACAGCTGCAGCAGCTACAGCAACAGCAACGAACATACAGCCGCCGCAGTTGGGCTAGCAACGAGGACCGTAGTGAAAAGCGGTGGACAGCAATGGCCATCTCTCTATGATTCACTATCAGCATAATGGTAGGGAGCGATCGAACGAACGAACGACCCGGGGGTTCATATTGATGCTGACGGTGAAAGTGGCCGCCATCACAATGATGGATAAGTGATGTTGAGATGCAGTGACCTGTCGATTGCGGCCTGGTCTGATCTGTGAACGTTTTCCCACTGACCGTATTTTTCTTTCGCCCCCGTACCCAGCATCAGGGATGCCGCCTTCAGTTGGTCACCAGCGAGCACTACTGATTTGCGTGACTTTTTTTTTTTGCTTGACGTTTGAACACGTCAACGAGGCTCGCTAATGGATTTTCGCTGATAACGACGACTGCTCTTATCTATTTTGTACCACATAACTACGCACGCGCTAGCCCTATAAAGCTTGCAAACGTATCTTGTTCACAGCATAGATTTTCTATACTCAGTAATAGTATTGTCCACGAGAAGCGTTAAGAATATGCAATTCGTCCCTTCGTATGTCTTCTCGATTGCCACATTTCAGCTGTTTTCGCTATTTGTAGTCGCTTAATTGTTTCATTGTTTTTAGGAAAACAAAACGTTCTTCATGGTACAAAAAGAGCTTAACGATGACACATGGTTTGCACAGCAAAAAGAATTTTACTTGAAGTGTACGCACTTCCATCGTTTCGATAAAGTTGCATCAAAACAGTAACATGGCGACAGTACGCCGCCGGTTCAGTGCGCACAGAACAAGGACTTCTATCAGTTGTTACAAGCCTCGGTTACTTGCTATGGATTCGAACCCATCTATTGGCAACAACCGATCCCATTTTGGTACGTCGGTAAACTAGTTATGAATAACACAAAAGTGAATGTAATTCTGTTTCCTGTACAATCTATAAAATTGTTATTTCAGTGTGTTAATTTCCACCCTATACAACAGCTCCCGCTGTAACCGTGAAGCTTTGGCACGCAATACATCTATTCCATATAGATTTAGTTCTAGGATAGCGACAACAAACCGACAAATTGACGGGTGGAATCGATGGACAGACAGACAGACAGATCCTCGCCTTTATCGCTCGAAATGAAGTGGTGTTGCAGCCATAATAACAACGACGCCAGGATTGTTGTTCGCTGTTTGCCCGTTGTTCCGTCCAAAATCGATTCGACTGTGCGTAGGTAGGGGCATTTCGTTATTACATTAGATCCTTTGTTGAGTTGAGTTCCTCTCACCCTGAGTTGAATTGTCCTTTGCATCCCAGTCGTTCCTTCGTATTCGAAGGGCAGATAGCCGGCTACGAGCACGGCGGAAATGGCCTCAGACAAGACGGATTCAAGGGCAAGCGAACAAAACAGAAAATAGACGTTGTTCATTGGTGTTTCCAATCACAGCGGAAATTTCCGCCTCTTTTCTGAATCAAAATATGCATCCCACATTTTGTTGTTTACTGTTGACAGACCACGATTTTACAATGATGGCAGAAGGTAAATGGCGGGGCAGAGGAGAGTACAGCCTCAAACGGCGGCAATGAAAGCTGGGTAACCAAAGTATTATGGCGGATGACACCACACGTATTGCAGCGATTTGGACTAATACTAGAGAAACTTTATAAAGCGTCAGCAATGAATATATATGTTTATTATCAAATCATCTTAACTGTGTACATTATAATAGCAGCGTGCCTTCACAAACGATGAGTCTACGATTGTTAAAATGGCCCTAAGCAGCCGTGGTCGATAGATAGACAAAAACTGAAACTGAAACAATCTGAAAGCACCTTTTTGATTAAATGGTGATAACTGAATAAATACAATAACCAATTGGAACAGTATTTCATGCATGAACGGGCGACGAGATATGGCATACCACTGGCAGGTACTACTGCAGCAGGAAAACACTGACGAATCGCTTATACTCTGCTGGCTTAGGGCACACGCCACCATGGCAAATAACTAAAATTAAGATTCGCTATTCATATGCGAAACGAACATATTAGCCCCTTAAAAAAGGGTGCAGCAGGCAGCCAACTAACAGAACAGAAATGTATAGGGTAATGTCAAATCAAATGGAGCTCGTATTCGTATTCTCCACAATTTTTGTGCTGGTAGCATCAACTTTGTAGCTCAGTAAGGTGAGAGTTTTAACTTTTCGGCAGTACGCAGCCAAGTAATACTGCGCGGTTAAGAAAAAGTCGAAACTTTTGTAGACTTTGTAGGCTTCCCTCTTGATACCTTGTATTGGTAACCTCAGTTCCTACGTCTTTTTTAATACACTGTTTGTCTGATGTATATTGCATACGGTCTTCTTCGTATGGATTTTGAGCACGAAGAAAAAGGTTCCTAAACGTTTGATTGCAGAGTATAGTAGGTCAACAGTAGTGCAGTAGTGGTCTGATGAAAATTTGATTGAAGTAGATTGGGATATTTCGGCGGATCATTTCAAACGGATGCAATATTCAAATGCAATAACGACAAGCGAGATTTGAAGCAAGGGTTCGAGGTAAACTGTAAGGCTGCCTTTAGACCGTATTTTAAATGCCAACTTAGGGGATAATCGTTGTCTGTCTAAATGTAATCGTTTCATAACAGTAATTAGGATGATAGTTAGAAAAACTCATAGGTGTGGATCATATACCATTAAATGTCTAAAAACATGAAAAATGAACTGTAAAAAGTAGCATAGCTTTACTGTAAATAAAACCTAATACCAATAAGGAGGCCGAGCATCAATATAAGAGCGGTTGAATGAAGGAAACATGCATTTGATTCACAGAAAAAAATCTCTTCCTAATGTTCGGGTATGGTCCAGTGGTCGCCGATTTTATGATGTGATAAAATTTATGATGTAAAAAAATAAATACCGTTAATACCGGTACTACTGTCTTCCTATGGGTATACAATCTATATTTCTAACGATGCTTATACTATTAATTGGAAAGCGTTTTTCTTAAGGCTAAAATAATGATGGTTCTGTTATACGACATGCTTGTTGAATTTATACATGAATTAGCTAGACTGATACTCAAATTAAGTAAATGTAGCTAATGTAGCCCGATTACAGCGATGATCATTTTATACCTTTTATACATCTTCGCATATAAGATTTTCGGTGGAAACATTAATACATTAATTGCACGTTCCTGGGTAAACGTTTTCGAATTTACAATTTCTTTTTCTTGCCAGTCACTCGTATTACAACTAATTACTCAATACATTTATTGCGTGCTAAACACCTGAGCTAACTAGTCAAGGAAACTACGTCGTTCCAGTTTTTGAATTTATTGGTCGTAAACTTGGATCTTCAAAAAGTTGTTGCTGAGAAATATAAATTAACATAATTCTTGTAACTGGAAGATGATTGCAAATAGTGTAACTATAGACGGTAATGGCATGAACTTAGTCAGCACTCAAACTCCTTTTAGTTAAACAATGATAACTAGTAAGAATGTCTGTAGAACCGTACCATTTCAAGATTACTTGGTATCTTACACAATGTAAAAAATCACTCGGCAAAAGAGATGTACAAGACGTATGCAAAAAAGGAATTTTCATGCAAGCTTATACTACATACAAATTGCGCGCAGCATCCTCTTCGATATATACTTGCCTAAACGCATACGTACACGAATAAAACGCTATCTCCAATTACAAAGTCTATTCTGGTTTGACTTAAATCAATAACCCAAAAATATCTCTTCTGCTGTATTCTGTGAAGTAGCATTCTCTAGAATCCTCAGTCGACAAATCATGTTTCGAAATGAAGTTTATCTCAAGCGTATATCTTTGTACAGGCAGTTTTTGTGATTTGGCAGGTCTTCAGACAATTTATAATATCGAAGTGCGACTAGTGCAGCATGAGCAGGGTACTTCACTTTCCTTTACATGAAGATGCTGTTGCCGTCGCTGTCGAAGAGCTCGACACAAACGGAGATGATTCTCTGAAGGCTACAACGAACGATGACCTCTTTCCCACAATAATTCTGTAGCTGTCTCTCCAACCGATCTAAAACCTGATCTGACGCCGGGTTGATCGTGTCTTGCAGGTTGGTCGGGCTACAAGCGGCTTCCGAATTAAACGAAGACACCGCAACGGGCGACGTAATGGAAGTTTTTACAGTCACTTCCGCTATCGCTTCAGGCACATGCAATGCAATAGCTGGACACCGAAAAGTTTGTTTTACCAGGGAAGATACATCAATGCCTATAACAGAATAATCAAATCAATTTCGTAAAAGTCACATGCTTACCCTATGTTTCGCTACTTTTTGGTATAGTCTATACGTCGACGGATCCTAAAGATGAATTCGCTTTTCACTGCGGCACGGCTGGCAAAACAATAACTAAGCTATTATATGATAGCAAAAAAAATAAGTTGTTTACCGAGACTTTATCCTATCATCCAGCTAATCTGGCTAGACGTTTCACACTTCTTCATTTGTTGAGATAACTAATGATTTTCTTAATAATCTTTTTTCGGTTCTAATAGTTTTTTTATCGATTTCATTTGAATTGCTTTCTTAAATGAAACTTGTTTCATGTGCACACTTTTTCTACGTACGACCTATCTCTACGACCTATCTATTTGAAAGATACGCGCCTTTCTGTGTATGGAAACGTGTGACGTCTATTATTATTGAATCAATTAGCTGCCGGCCTATAAGATTCTATTTAAAACACGTACTACTTACCGTAGTCTATAAGCCTGATAGTGTAATGCACAGGCGTATGCCGAGCCACGACCTTACCGCGAACCCACTTCCGGTCGCTTCGACTGGGTTTTTCGGCTTCACTTTTAGACTGTAGTATGGACACAGGAACTTCAATAATGGCTGGAGTGCCAACATGATGTGTGAATAGGGGAGTCAAAGCAGTTTTGTTAATATTCTCTAAAATCTCATCAATACGCTGTCGCTCGGCATACAGTTGGAGAGTAGCCCGCAATTGTCCGCCCTTTTTGCTACTGTCTCCATCGTCAACGGTGTCTCTCGAGTCTTGACTTTTTTGTAACCTTAGATATTTGCGGGAAACTTTAAGAAGCCGCGCATCGACGAACTCTACCTCATTGCCGTTTCGTGGCAGCAACAATGTGTTTTTCACGAACCGCGGACTCCAAAATGTCGCCATACCCTCTTCAAATAACTGTGGAACGATATCACCGCGTTCATTGCACAGCACTGATAGATGACAAATCTCGCCTGGGACGTCCTCGTCAGCACCAGACATTAACAAATGGCAGCGAAGAATCCCATCTGCGAAAAAGCGTGCATGCAAATACACGAGACAAAATTGATACGAGACTATATCAACAACTATTTTTATTATTAATTATAGTAAAATATTTTCAGATTTAATGTGAAACTCACACGTCTTTAGTCGAGCAGCTTTTTTTTTTATAATGGATGACTCGGCTCATACAATAGAATTTTTCTCTTCATATGGATGCGGATGAAGGCTTCGGTTCTTTAAGCATTAGAGTAACTTATATTTACTGAGAAGTGTATGTACTTAAATAGGTTACGTTGCGCGATATATGAAGCGCCGCAAAGTGGAAAAACGATAGGTACCGTTTTATGTTAGTTACTCGCTAAGTGCAATGCTACTAAAACAAGATGAAATCGAATATAATGGCGAGCGCTTTTTACTGTAATGCTAAAAGAAACAACATTTGCCTTGTTTTTTTATCACCACCCTGTGAGAAACCTTTTTTGGGCCTATTCTTATAATTTAAGGCTATCATAAACTGTTAGACCATGAACATGAACATGAAAAGTACAGGGCGTTCGATATTATTAGGAAACACTTTGGTATATCTTTTATTGGAAGGGACATTCATTGTTCGCTATTCTCGCTATTGGGAGGAAGCCAGTTCGTCCACAAACACAACCACTGTCCTATTACAATAAAGGTATAATGTTCTTCTCTCGGGCATACAATTGAAGAGTCTGCACACTTGCGCATACACAAAAGAGGTACCTAGTACAAGAGACAACGTTATGTAGCATATGCCGTGTTCATGGGATTAGTAGTTCATGGAATCCATGTGTAGCTGTTCAATGGGCACAATTAAAATAGCTCGCAAAAACTTAGGATGTTGATGCACAAGTTAGTGGCTATTTTTAAAAAAGGCTACCTATCGATAATAGTGTCATCTAGATAAATTTCAAGTGTCAGGTTTTTCAAGTCATTTACACGCTTTAGTCTTTTTTAGTCGACTGGACCTTTGAAATTTTCATCCTATTTCCATGCTGAAATTTTAGTTAGCTCAATTTTTTGTGTTTGGTGAGTCTGAGCAGGATTCAAATGAGTCTACGTGAATAGCATGACTTCGCTTACCGGTACTTAACAAGTTATTAATTAGCAAGCTTCAAATAAATTTTTATTTAGTTGCCCTTGCTAATAGTAGTCAAATGCTTCACAGGTCAACGACATAATATCCTAAGCAGGGCGAGAATATAGAAACAAAAGAATACACTGCGCCATATTTTTCACGCCAATCTTGTTGATCTTATAAGATTAATTTTAGAGATTTACCAATCGTACCAAAGGCGGTACCAATGGGTAACCCACGGCATGATATTTACCTCAATTTCTTCCACATGCGATGCACCTATAATGTATTGTCAGGCTCATGGAAACCCTGTTTCCTGCAGAGCCTATGGTGAAACTCATGCATCGATAAGCGAGTGACAACATGGATTTAGAGAAATGATTATGATTGAAAAGTAGTTGTGAGTGATATAAGATCCCAACTGAAGCGATCGCAGGAAATGAAAATTACACTGAATGAACACACTCAGGAGCGCCGTCCTATGCGCAAAATGTTCAGCCGAATATCTGTTTCCATTGTCCAATGTGATTTGTTATTATCATTATTATTATTATTATGCCAATATGTGTTTGTTCTAAATTAAGTTGAAAAATGTTCACATGATATTGTCCACTACCTCGTTTATAGGAAATCAAAATAACAAAAAAATCTATATATTTCATTGAATTTTTACAGTAAAAAAAAAAAAAATACACTGACCGAATATCGGTAGAATTTCTCGAGGTTGCTTCTGCGTATGTACAACTCGAACTCTATGATCGTTTGCTCGAAGGTTCAAAATGATCGCTAGAGCAGGGATCTGATCTAACGAAACTGTCGATGGCAGCTCGAACAGAGATTTACCGGGCACCTGAGTAACTTCGCCAGTATCAACTAAGAAAACAGAATATAGATTTGTTGATTCGTCGAACGAAAGCAGTCTGACCCTATGAAACACCGTACGTGGGTGATCAATACGGGCCACGGCAATCGGCACAGGTAGTTGTTGCGATACGGTAGGTTGAATAACCCGAAGGTCGGTTGCGTTTTGGAGTACCGCCATTCGATCAGAGAGTATCTGCGAGACTTCAGCCATCGACTGCTTTACGACACAAACCTGTAATTGAAAATATTTATTTTCAAAGAATCTAGTCGAGAGCTCCAATCCATCCTCGCCAATAGTCTGCATACAAATGTTGATAACTGTCTGTTCGCTTTAATAAAAAATAACACTGCTAATGATTTGTTTCGTACGACTGGGATCAGAGTAGTCGTACGGTAGCTATCTATGCTATGAATTTTCCAAATGTAGAAGTTGTTTAAGCATCTCGCTTAAGTGCGCGGAACTACGCATACCTACACAAACGCATACAGCTGGACCACCTCGATAGACCTTTATATTGTAAATAAAGTGAAAACTTCGTCACGATGTCGATTTCGCTCTCAGCGAAAACTGTAATCAACTTAGTAATGTAAACAGAAGCGCCAATTCGAATTATCAAGTTTTGTTGCTATTACCTATTGAACTATCTATATAGGGCTATGGTTTATACGAATATATGTATCTACCTTAGTAGGGCTGTAGAGCCATGTAACAAATACATCAAAGCTCGTTTCCGTGGCAACCAAGGATGTCGCAGACGCACTGAAGTAGTCATCTTCAACATGGGCTAGAGTAACCTGGTCGATGCCATTCACATGATCTCTACTTTTCGCGGAAAGCTGGCCCACTTCAATAGGCTGCGCCTGCTCTACGGGGCTGTCTGGCTTTACCAAACACGCATCTTTTATCTCTTCGCGATCTTTAACATCATTGCGATTTTCAATAGTGCTTTCTGTATCATCCTTTTCTGGGTTAAGGACTTTCTTGTTAGATGCCTCATTTTCCAATGTTTCTTGCGATTTCGAGCAAGCAACAACGGCCTTAGCTTCATCTCCGTTGGTCAAAGGTACTTGTTCAGAGCTCGGATCTTCTGCGGCAACGTCTTCTTCTAACGCTGCCGGATGGTATGCAGCGATAGTGCAATTTTTCTCCTTTAGAATCACGTCAACGTATTCGTCAACCGTTTCAGTGAAGCGCGTCCGTGGAACACGAATGCCGAGCCGGTCGAGGTTTGCGAATCGTTTGATTAATCGCGGTGGGCAACAGGGGACAACGTGCATCGACCCATAATCCAAAGAAAGAATGGTGTACTCACTATCATGAATTTTAGTTACTTCTCCGCGGTAGAACGAGCCCTCGTCACAGAAAGCGACCAGGTCACCAACTTGAACATTTTTGTCTTCTGATTTGGTTGAACGCGCCTTATAATAATTCGTCATGGCATGATTTAGATTCTCCAATTCAAGTTCGTCCACTCGACAGAACTGTAGTCCAATATGCGCGCCGTCATCTACAGTTATGTACATTCTTTCGGCATGATCAAGGATTACAGGATATTTAACATTTGTTGCAAGCTCATCATCATTATCATGATTAGTGGTATCCAGAGAACATTTTCCGGTGACTACATTGTCGTTTACAGACACACGGCTGCCATGATTAGCTATGCTCCCAGTGGATCCTTTCACTAATTCATTATGATGCTCAGAGCTTTCCTCCAATCTTATGGCGGCATCAGATTTGCCTTCGATACTCGATACATCTTCCATTTGTGTCTGTGTGTCTAAAGGTTCGTCCGATTTCTGAATTTCCTTTTTTGGTTTTTGGTCAGACTTCAACTCGAAAGAGTATTCAGCAATACCGTCCTTTTGACATTTTTCTAGCTTCGTAGCGATAAAAGACGTTTCCTTTGCAAGATATAACTGATCCGGCTTAAGACTGCACCTTAAACCGTATTGAGGATACCCCACAAATTCATCAGGCAATAGTGCGAGATCAGAAATCGGCACTTTTGACAGTACACCATAATCGACCTGCATCACGAGAGCATCACTACTCGTTAGGTCGCAGACAATACCACGGTAAAACCCGCAGGAATTTTCGTCTTCTATTCGAACTGCTACCAAGGTTCCCTTTGAGATTTCGTTGATTGGTACAGGTATTCTGCCGTTTTGCATCTTAATTGTGAGGTTAAGGCTGAGGTCGCAAAGTTCATTGATGTTATACTTTCCCAGCTGAACAGGAATGACTGTCGGATTATCCTGATCGATCTCGTTAACCCAGAGTTCTTCTTCAGCGCCCAACTCCAAAGGCGGATAGGATCGGGGAGGCAACTCGATAGTGCTACCGTCAAGAGTTTTACTATCATCCTGTTTACCATCAATACGGGCCACGGAATATAGTGACATGCCGCATCCTTTCGGAACTGACCGGGAAAGAATTTTTAGGGAGTATTCCTTATTCAACTCTAACTTTGGTGATGCGTTTTCCAGCACACAATGAAACGCCATACACGGCGTGTCGCTTGCATAGCCTGGATCCAGTGGCCATATCTTTTCAACGGGTATATCATCAATCGAGCCGTAGTCAACACAACGGACAGTGGCGATACCGTCGTTAATATCTAGAACCAGGGCCCGACAAAATGTTCCGTCGATCTCCACAACTACGAAATCTCCTTTCTTTATTGACTTAAACGGTGCTCGGGAAGAACTGTTCAATTCGTGTAATAGTTCCTCCATTGCTTCAACATTACCACGCTTAAGCTGGACGCCGTAAGTCGAATCAACACCGATGAAATACACAAATACGTCTTCTGTGTCACGAATATCCTCTGTCAGTGTTATCGCTCCATTCATTGAACTCATGCTTCCTGTCGACGCCTTTGGAGATTGTGCCGGTATTGTTGTATGCACTCCGTCTGAGTTTCCTGATGTTGTTCCACAGACGGTTGAGACTGCTGTTGTTGTCGTCGTCGTCGGGATGTGAGCGGGCGCAGGACTACTTTCAGTCGTCCCTGACGTATCGATTAGAGTGGCTACCCAAGTTCTTGATAGTGAATCAGTCGAATCGACACGGTCAATTCTGACATCAAGTTCCGCGTCAACTTCTACATTTTTTAGATCAGGTAACTTGAGTAAAACAGCAAAGGCCTCGACTTTGGCTAAATCGGCACTGAGTGCCTTGATATTGCTAACAGGCACATGTTCGAAGGAGCCATAGTCGACAAACTCGACCTCTATTCGACCTTCATCGTTTTTTTCTCTGTCCTCGTTAGTGTCGGTCGTGACTAGCCCCCGACACCAGGAGGGCTCGATAGCCGAGAACGCCAGGACGTATTCGCCTCGCTTGGGTCGTCTTTTCATAGATTTCGCCCTTTCAGCTTTCTCTTGCACCTCGGTTTCAAATTCATTAAATTTGTCAGACAAGTCAGAACGAATCAGCTGAACTCCAACGACCCCCTTCGCCTCATTGATTTCAACGAGGATCACGCGCTCTGTTTCTTCGAGTTTAGGGGAAGGAACCAGAACGCACTCTTCTTCGGGAAAGAATGCTTTAACAAGCTTGGCATGGTCTTGAAGCTCTTTCGGTATAAGGCGAGCATGGAGACAATATTCTCCCTGTATAGTAATCACTTCAATATCCTCAAGAGTCCTTATATCGTCATCAACAACGTGACAGCTTTCCTTAAGCATAATCTGGACGGCCACCCGTGGCCACTTTTCAATTAACTCCTCGTGCAGTGGTTCGAGTGAACTTTTTTCAACTGTTTGGAGCCCGCCATGGTCGAGCAGTTCGACCATACAAACATTGGTGCTATATACATCCACAACGACGACACGCATTGATATGCCTTGAGAGACAAAGACCGCCAAGTCACCTACTGAGGGTTCATCGTTAGGAAATTTTGCACCAGCCGGCGCGAATTTTGAAATTTCATCACTAATATCTGTGAGTATTTGCTCCGGGAAAATGCATAACTGGGCATAAATCTTAGTGTCCAGGTGCGACACGATGTAAATCTCCTCGCAGGATTTCAATTTGGGAAACGGCACACGTTTCTCCAACATCTGTAACAGAATAATTTAAGTTGCACGCAATATGTATCATATTGGCACCACACAAAAATCGCTGACATCTTCAACAATAGTAGCCTACTATGTGAACTTACTTATAGAAAGTAACAATTTCCCCATTAACCATCTGATTAAATTTTGACAGCAAGCGAATATATCTAAAAGTAATTTTTATCTGTTGTTAGCTACGTCTTCAGTATTAACAAACATTTGAATTTTCTCCAATAGCTAACCACCCATTCGTTTTCTACTAACCTTTTTATGTAAGAGTGAATATTCGTAAAATTCTATATACATGTATAGAAATAAACAACGTTCGTACAATAGCATTGTGCCGTTGGAATATATCTTGATTGTGGATTTCGCTTAGGACCCTTATAAACTCATACATTCTTTGAGGCTGTTTCTACTCTTAAAGCCTATGGCAATTTTATGGAAATGAGTTACAATTTAGCTTTTTCTGCTTCCAAAGAGTCATACAATTATAGAACTAAAAGGTGCTAAGTACGGGAAAAATAATGTTGAACATAATTGCTTTTTTGAAAAATCGATGTCATGTAATAATAATATAGTAGTTCAATATGATAATTATTCTGACAATCGGTAATTAATTGTATGAGCGATAAAAAAATTAATTTGTCAGCACACATTGTACTAGTTGAAAATTTGTCTCATATAAAAAAAGGTCATTACCGTTACCTCAACTTAACGCGATCACAACATCATCTATTTGCATTCTCAAAAGTGCTTAGTAGTTGGTAACGGACTTTACCAGTTACCACTTATTTTCAACTACGAAGTATCCTCTGTCACTTCACACTATTGCTTTATTATAAAAATATTATTTCTTTACACAATCAGTTTATAAGATTAAAGACATTATTCTGGTGGCGACGATCGATACTGGCGTATTCTATGCTAGTGCAGTAGCGTAAGCAGAAAACTAGCGAAATTAGAGCGCAGAATACCTTATCCAATGCTTCTACTTCTTAACAAGATAGCGACTTGCACGGTAAATAACTGCCTACTATTTCTTGGGACAATATGCGCAATAATTTCGTGTGCGAGCCTTAGTTCGGCGACATGTCAGTGTAACAATTACAAAGTTCTGTGCGTTTATTGTTAGTGTTAACGTATTTTCATGCAGCAGACGATACGACCGTCCATGTTTGTTTAGGTAGGTATGGAAGGGACTAACTGTTGTACGTCCGGTACCGCCGCTAGATATTCCATCACACGAATGCGCCCTGCATGAAATGTTTACGATGCTCCCAGCACGAAACGCGTGAAGCAGACGGTACAACTATTCATCTAACTATATAATGATTGTCGTCTGTTTCTTACTCGCTTCAATCAATGCTATTTCAGTATCTACTAATGGTTTTTCTCTTATAATTGCTTTATTTCAATAAGATCTAATCACGTTTTTCAATCAAGTTTTTACTTTTTGTTATTCAGAGCATTTTATACTTGGCCAGTAGATTAAATAAATATAATATACTATATATTAGCCAATATAATATAATATATATACCAGATACCAGAAGTCCGAAATTATTTAGGGGTAAGATAAAAATAAGTCGCTGTTAGAATCTGCCTTTTTTAAAGCCGCGCCCTGATTTGCCCCTACTGCCAAACTGAGCTAAGTGGCCTCCAGTCGAACTTAATTAAACCGCTTTTATTTTTCTCACCCTATTTCTGTTTATTTATATATCCCCGATCAATCAAGTTCATATTTTACTATATATGTACGAATAACGTTGCTGCTGTTGAGAACAGGAACTTATTTGCATCATGATAACTATCCAGACCTTACTTAAGTTGCATGCTTATTTCAATAGCAATTGATGGGTATCCTTGACCAATCATTAGCGAAAAATTCAAAAAAAATTCGCTGGTTAATTCTAGTCTTACCTGAGCAGGTAGCTTCGACCTGCCAGGAAAAAGCAATCCATCTGTCGGGCCGAGTTGTCGATTTGCATGCAGATTACCGATATCTACTGGAAGACCTGAAACACTGAGTTATAGCAAACAGTGATGACAGGCTGCGATGTGTGAAGTAAGCGAAATCTACAACAATGAAATCTAGAAGACATATGTCTTCGACGTCACTATAAAAACATGTATTTTGCAATGGAAAAAAGTACTGTTTATCAAAGTGTCGCGCTGACTTTTATTGCGAATGAACCAATTTGCTCGTCCTAAACTATCCTATCTTTTTCTGTGCAATTGGTGAACTGTAACATCAGCTAACAGAGGATAACTACAATAGTACATTTTTCTGGTGAAAGTGGAGGTAAAACTCAATCATACTCTTTTATAATAGGTGCATACAATCTGGATCTCATGTTAAGGCTGCAACGACGAAAGATCTATTTAGCATCAAATTGGGTAATCAGCACTAATTGGGCTTTATTCACTATTACGCATATGTTTGTACGTTCGTTCATGTGTGAAACGACTGTGACCCGCCTGTGTTTTTGAATTGGACGCACTGTTTCATCTAGTCATCACGTTGGGATCACATGGAACTGTTGTTGACGTCTCTGCGCGGGTCCGATTGCGCAGAGCGGACTCTGCGTTATTCGAGGCTCAATACGGAAAGACGTGCTTTCTATTGGTAATGCTCGTTCTAGACACTGTATCGTCGTTGTAATAAGCTGCTTTTTTTGTTAACTTATTTTTGCATATGAAAAGACTAACTGTTAAAGATGCTTCGTACGTCTATGCAGTCAGGTGCTCGACTGGTGGTCATAGCAAAGGTGCTGTTTCCTCTGAAAGGGTACGTAATTTGTTTAAGATTCATTTGAGCGGAATATGTTATATCAGTTTTGCTGCTTTACACTCACAAGGTTCACGGAAAAACAGAACCACTAGCGCTGTTAAATTATTGCTGTAAAATAGCTGATTGAATAGACCCAACACTTTTTATAGAATTATTGTGATTATTATCTACATTGTTCTATTGTATAAAGTACAATAGTCAAAAACTGCTGACCTACTAAGAAGGAAAATCTCCGTAGATTATAACAAATTACTGGTATATAGGTTTATGAAGTTTTCGCTGACTAAGCATTTTACGGGTATTTTCAGTGCAGTCGCCCTAGTCGGTTCCAATGATCGTGCTATTGTTTTCGCTAACCTCACACATATTTGTATTTTGTGGCAGAAACACGAATCTCATCCAAGTGAGTTCTGATGCTCAGTATATAAGTCGAAGACAATTGCAGACATGCGCAGTTGACCTACAATGTTCCTCAATGGGATCCTTTAAACCGTTGGCCGAACGTGAGGTGCCTATTAGAAACGTCGGGTTACGGAAAGCCAAGCATAAGATAAGATGCTATCTTTGGGGCGGCACCCATTCAGGCGCCCTTGGATGCGACCATTTCGTGAGTGTTAAACATATTCGTTCCATATGTCGAGCAGGAAGAAGAGCCTCAAACACTAATTCTGAAATAAAACTCATGTGGCAGATCAAAATTTGAACAGAATTAAAATAAATTGTGCATAGGCTAGTTGAACTCCATGTCGTTCGATCCTTTTCAGGAGGTAGGTAGGACATAGCAAGCTTTTTACACCTTTTTTCTCTCGATTGTAAAACATGCACTTGCGTAATCGTAGTAAAGCTGAAATCATCGAAAGGCAATGCGTTAAGTGGAACATACGTTTCCCATAAATTTAAAATTTCGATATCATCATTATTATGACCATCGGTGCACATTGTACCTGTATACTTATTTTTTCACATAAAAGGTAAGCCATTTTAACTATTTGTATTAAAATGAGCTTGCTATACTTAGTCTTTCAAAGGCGGTCAGAATATATATTCTACAAGATTGTATGGATGAGTCTACGATAGTTATCTGGTGAACTTCCCCATTAGTTCAGAAAGTATGAAAAAATATAGGATGGTAAAATCTTTCACCTATCTAGTATATATGTATATATATATGTAATAACTAAAAATCTTTAAAATCATTTCAATGAATCCGTAAGCAAAATTATATCACACTTATACTTTCGTGTAACACGCCGTTATCGGTCTTAGGTGCGTCCCCTTAAGAAACACTTAAAACCACGGGAGGATCGTTGTAATCCATATCGACTGCGTTTTAGTGCAACCAATAGAGTGTTCCGTATTGCCTGTGGAAATGGTTTCACTGTATTCGGTGCAAAGCCAGAAGACACTGCCTGCAAATACCGGGTACGTTGACACACTGAGGGAGCGTAAGCGTTTGATTATGTTTTTTTAACTTATTTGTAATTCGCATTATAATTGAACATTTTACGGCTCTAAACTGTATCTGCACACACGGCATACGTTCGATGCTTCAACTTAAAAGACTACGACATTTATGCTTTTTGCCATTATGAAGATTCATTAACATTATGCTTTCCGGTTTTCAATTAGGTATTTGGAACTGGTATAAATAAAGACTCGCAAATCGGCCTTCAACAGGCTCGAAGGGACGCACCGATGGAGCTTCTCACGCAACCTGTTCCCATCATATTACCCGAATCAGGGAGTTTTGATCATTTAGATGTAAATACAAGGAATACGGCCATTGAAAATGGTAGTAAAGCCCCTTTCTGGAGTCCGATCCTTAGCCTTGGAGCCGGCCGAGCGCACACAGTGATTGTAACTTCTGATGCCGTGTACACGCTCGGTAATTTAGTTTAACGGTCCATAATTACGCCTGTTTAGCAATCAACTAATTTTCATTACTCTAAGTCTAAAGAATACCATCATTTAGCCGTGTTTTGCATAACAGGTGTAACTAGATAGATTTTAAATTTTCTCTAGCTGAAAATACTAAAACGCAATTACATGCATCTCCGTAACCTATGTTTAATACAGAAAATGTATCATGCAGACTCTTTTACTTTAAAATATGTATCTAAACAACCCCCAGTGTCTTTAGCTTTCGCCAAAATGTAAACTACCAGCGTCCAAAAAGGGGCTGCGTTGATTCGTTCGATGTTTCTAACCGCAAAACTGCATTGGCATGGCATTTGATTCCCGCAGGTAACAATAGTTTAGGCCAGTGTGGACGTCCCATTATTGAGAATGAAAGCTATTTTGGTCGAGATCTTCTACACCGCGTTGAGGGTGATGGACTTAACAACGTAGTTAAAACCGTTTGTGGACTTGACCACACATTTTTCCTGACCGCTAGCGGAAAAGTATTTGCCTGCGGTTGGGGTGCCGATGGTCAGACCGGCCTAGGCCATTATAAAACTGTCGGTATACCGCAAGAAGTGCGTACCCTTAACGTTCCATTCCAGCAACATTCGTGCAATTTTCTCCTAAAGACATCATTTGCTTTACTGTTGTAGTTGCTCTTTGTTCGCATATTGTATCCCCATTCAAACCGTTGTTATTTAAACATGAACACTTTCGTCATGAGCAAAACAGTACATTTTAACGAAGCTCAAAATTATATAATGACTGTACACGAATGTTGGCCGAAAGGTCAAGATAGTGGTCCATTATTAATTATCTATCTTTACAAGCAGGTGGGTGGGGATATAAGCGGAGAGCGCATCGTTCTTCTGTCAAGTCGGGCCGACTGTGTACTGGCTTTAAACGAAAAAGGCGACTTGTTCGGTTGGGGTAATAATGAGTATGGACAGCTACTGGGAGCCACTAAGGAGATGCAGTTGCATACGCCGAAACATATTAAGCTCAATAAGAAGTTGAAGGGTGCGGCGGCCGGGGGAAGCGCTTGTGTAGTCCTTGACGGTAATTCACTAGTGTACCAGTAAACATTTTGAAGTTGTTTTTAATACTGTTAATGTGTTCATATTCAGAGTGTATGAAAATTGTTTCTAAGTCTGGCAAAATTATTTGGATAATGTATGAAAACGATTCCCTCCAGGTAAAACCTAAAAACGTAAAATAACTAGCAAAAGCGCTACTAGCATAACAGAGCCTCTAGTAAGAAGTCTTGAGACGTTGATCTTAAGCTTCAAACAAAGCAGACGACAAAATCGTTCCATGCAACGTGTTCTAAGTTTTAGTGTCAATGTAAGCGAAACCTCAAATTCATGAATCACTGGAAGAATGTTCTTATTTTGATTAGTAAGTAATCTAACAGTAAACAGAACGAGTAACAGAAAAGTTTTTCCTAATGTGGCTTAGTGTCTTGCATGTACGCTTTATAATGGATCAAAAAATTACCAGGACAGGTTCAGATTATAGACTCGAGGAGACCATTCCTATCATCCTATCATCATCGTGGTTGTCTGAGCCTTTATCTAACATCAATTTCCTTATTTTTTTTTTCTTTGCATCTAAATCATCTAATTGTCCAGAAAATGGCCAGGTGTTTAGTTGGGGCTATGGTGTCCTCGGACTTGGCCCAAAGGTTGAGCACTCCCGCAATCCACGCCTCATACCACCGCCGTTGTTCGGTGCGAACGAGCTGAACCCTGATAGTGTGCCGGTACGACTCGAAGCTGGAATGGCGAATTTCGCTGCGGTCACTAACAGAGGACATCTTTATACGTGGGGCCGAAACAATAATGGTTCTCTAGGCCTGGGTCACACAAAGTCTCAGATGTTTCCTCTTATGGTAAGAACACATGCAAAATATTTATTGCTCAATGTTTTCGGGCTGTAAAATTTCAGCTGGCGGACTTACCTATCTGGGATAGCGCAGATAATTAAACACATCTGAACGAACTAAGACTGCAGAAAATTAAAGCGCTCTCACATTTGAGACGAAGATACTGAAAGCTAGTGTACAACGATTTGGCAGATATTCTATTAAGTTACTTCGTCCTAGCGGTCGTTCATTATACCGTTTATTATACATGTTGAGTGTAAAATGAACACAAGGATCAGCGGTTAAAAATTTATATCGCATGATAAAAACAGATTGTGTATTTTATTAGTTCGATGTTAATGCGGAAGTGTTCCGTCTTTTACTCCAACGCCCTTTGAAAAAATATTTTTTTCAAAGGCCGTGTTGTATATCGCTACTAACGGATCTATCAATATTTTTTTTATCGCGTAAGCCTTCAAAGGCACCTACGTTGTCACACATATAATAACATGCGAGTACTATGTTATGTAAACAACTCTTTAAATAGAAACTAACGATGAGGGAAGGTTACTACGCCGATGTTTATTTTTTAAAGGCCAAAAGTAGTGGTGGCATTAGAAATGTTATTCAAGTTATAGATTTATCGAGTACTCTTTTTAGAACAGTTCTAACGTAATAGTATTGGCCCTTTGGCATACCGTACCCTTTGTATAATTAATGCACTGTAGTTGGATAAAGCTAACAATAGTTTGAATAATTTATCCAACATAATATATCTGTCTTTAATATAGATCTAATGAATTTGGTAATCGAATGTTTCTTTTTAATTTCCTTTTCAATGCCATCATTAGGTCACTATCGCGGCCCAAGTTCGGGACATCTCAATGGGAGTCGACCATACGGCAGTGATCACACAATCATTTTGCTGACATTGGCAGTACTTAAATAACAACATGTTGCTGTTTGTAGATATACCTGCGTAGCATAAATAAATGAAAGCAGGCCTTGTACTGTATTTGAGATTGAAGAAGTATTCACTATATAACGAATAACTTGGATGCAAAAGTAATTACGTGTTTGTAGGTGTTTTTAAAGATCGATTTAGTTTGTGAGTGTATTGTTCTTCGAAAAGAACCGATTTATTTTGAATCTCATAAGACTTAGATCTGGCTTAGTCACTTATAGATTACTATGTGTGATAAATTAAACAGCAAAGAAAAATTACAGCACATATTTCTTGTTGTGTGCGTTGCATCGTCTCTGAGACCTTAATATGTATTGTTCAAGTAAAATTTTGCCAGTCTAAAAGCAACGTGAGCTTTTTAACTCCAGAACGTTGGTTCTACGTATCAAGTAAAGGTTTGCGGTATATTTAATAAAATTGAATTCAATTGTATATATCAAACTTTATTCTCATGATACACTTATTAACTAAACGATGTATATGAAATTTGATTTCAATCCCAGAAAAGCAGCCCATGAAAATGGACAGCTGCTCTCTCTATGGCACTGAAATTCTGGTTAGCATTTCTATACTGTACATATTCATTCATTTTGCTTGGAGCCGTATGCGTCTGGGCCTAGTGTATAGTAAAGCGACATCACTATTCTGAAAAAATCAAGAGAAAATTTGAATGAACATCCTTTATTTATCCATAGTTGTGATTGTTTTTCTTCCAGCATGCATTGCAGTGCCATGCACGATGCATCTCTTGGCTGCTTACAGCTTAAGATCCACGTCTCTTCCAAGAGTATGTACTCAGTTGAGCCGTAGTCAACACACGGAACTGTAGGTCAAATGTTTTTAACACCCCCAGCAAAATAGACGATTAGTTCTTCTGTGATACGGCTATCCTCGATGGGTGCTTTTTTACATTTGCAGAGACCATTAGCGACGATATTTCAATGGATTCCGTCACTCTTAATGTAAACGATGTCTGGGTGCCGTCGACGGTGCATACGCGTTCAAGTACCAATTATCTGTGAGTTGATTGATCAAAATTACCATATGTGTAACTAATAACGAGTCGCCAGAACAAATATCGGCTGTTGTGATATCACACACCATACTGCTTTACATACCCTTCAAAACCTCATGGAACTTCAGTAGGAGCACGTAGGTATTATGGACAATAAGCTTGTACTTAAGGTTTTGATACTGCTGATGGTAATTGATATCATTAACTGATATTATTACGACTCGTTCCACTTTTTGAACTTCTGCAAATAGAACTAACATTTTTTGTGACGTCGCCAAGAAAAGAAAATTTCGTCCGAATGGTCTGTGCAAATGACATTGAATGAATGAGTTCCATTTTTCGACAAACTCTTTCGTCATCGACCACATCGTACAGCCTTCCTTGAGCATTACTTAAAAAAAATTACCTCTCATTCGGCGGATTTTCTAGTAGTTGAAGTGAGTTCTTTTCAGCCGTCTCTAAACTGCACTAATCGAATAAATCAACGACACATGTATTTGCTTGAACTTCGACATGCATTGCGGCATCTCTGTTATTTGGCTGGGTACATTTCATGATTTCGTCACTAATATCTGTGAGCATAGCCTCCGGAAAGATTTACATCGGAGTGTAAACCGTAATGTCGCAACGGGCCACAAAAATGACTTCATTCTCGGAAACGGAATACACAGGTGAAGTAGCAATAGTTTCAGATAGTTGTCATATAATCTCTGAAAACAAAACAGGAGACGGTATCGAAATAACGTTCACTTTCGACATCTAGTTATCTATAACAATTTATAAGGCTCCCCGCTTTGGGCATACGCCGGCTTTGAAATGAGTAATAGGGTTACCACTCCGTAAACTGATCATAGCTACAGCTTGAATCAGAAGTTTGACGCTTACTTCGAATTAAATGAAAATTCCTTTCTTTTAAATCAATCAGCAAGTTCTGGTTTTCTTATCAGAAACAGTAGCCCATTTGTATTGTGCTTAAATTACATTTAATGTAATTTAAAATATCGTAATACTTGGGATTTGTATCTGTTCCATGGGTATAAACCTTAAGGTACAATATGTCGTATAGATTCGAATCCTTCTATAGAAGGATTCGAATCTATACTTTCAACCCACACTCCAGCAAAAACCATTCGCTTTGCCTTTTTTATGGGACCATGTCATCAGAGCCTAAATAGTTCTTGTTAGTTAAGAGATATGCTATCTTCCTTGGTTTTTTTTTTACAAAACAGGTATGGTAAAGGCAAACGCATAATTTAGCCACAGTCATTGGTATTTACCGCGCGTATTTCGGATTAGAGTTTTAATTGAGAACAAGAAATAGCGGAATAATCGCCAATCCGGTGCAGTGAGGTATGCGCCATAGCAACGGTAGCGATTCCCTGTGCTAAGGCAGAGATCAGCCTTCCTCGCCGATGTAAACAAACAGATTGACAAATGGCGGCCGCCAGTCGAGGAACCGAATGGACTACTTTTTTAGAGAAACTTCCTTTGGAGCGAGCTGAGAAGGTAGGTTCTCGCAAGCGCGCGCACTGAAGTAACTCCATTGACATGCGAGGTGTCAGTGACGCGTAATATCCGGCTATACCGTTAGGCACTACGTAGAAAATAAACCGTGATTATTTCGCTCTCGACATAGGTTGCACTGCCTGATAAACGACTAGTGCTTTTTTATCCGTCAAATATATCGACAAGTGGCGTCGTAAAGTCTGATCAAACTGGCGTAGAGCGGAAAAGATGGACCGGTGTGGTCTGAATAGAGAGGAAAAAGGACTAAGTTAATCTGTTCGCATTCAAGAACTTCAGTGCCTAAAAGAATCTTGAAATCGATCAATAGTTGGATTGTTATACTATCGGTGAGACACACCCCCTTTATTTATACAGTAAAGACTGGCCCGATATGTCAGGCTTTGTTGAACCGCTGAGGTGTGCCGCCGGTTAGGAACCTAGGCGATTATAATAACAACTCTGTTTCTTTTTGATAGAGGGAGGTTATATAATACCAAAGAAAATAAAATTGGTGATCTCATCTCTACATATGAATATTATCCAAATGAGAGCTAATTATTTTGCTGTGTACCTGCCATATTAACGATCCAAAATTTATTTAGCTTAGTTAGTGTCATACGTGACCTGAAAATTCAATCTAAGTTGGCTGTTAGTAATACCCTTACATCTAGTACCAAGAAAAACAACTCGCACAATTCGCATTTTTTAAATATTGCAGCTTCTAAATGAGTTGGGTGAAAGCCTATCAGGGGTTCAGACCCGGGGACCGCAAGCAGAACATTACAATGAGCTGACACCTGAAGATTTTGAGAGGGGTACTCGAGCACTAAGTGATCTTTTCAAGAACCTTTGCCTACCTTCGTCACCAACGAAGACGCCAACTTCGAACGTGAGTTTTTCCAAAAGCTCTTTTCTAAATATATACTCTCATCGTTTGATCACGATTGAATTTTTAGCAAGCGTCTGTCCAAAATGGGTATAGCGCACAAAGTAAATACTAAGAATGTTGTATATATGAAACAGATATAGTAAAGCCGTCATTTCTATTAAAAACAAAAAAAAAAAACAACTGCTTATTGAAAAGTAATATAAGTAATTTGCAAAAAAAGTTTAGTCATCATGTAGAAATATATCATGATGGAGAGGTACTTCATATCACATTTCTTAAACCAATGAATTTGTATAAGCAAAGTGTTTTACCTATGAACCTTTTCGTTAATAATGTTAGACATGAATTGAGACAAGGAATCTGGGTTTTATCAAACTGTGTAAGGTTGCAGGTTCTATGTACTTCAAATCATGCTTGGGTGTATCTATTTGGTTGCCGAACTAATTAGTTCTATACGTATTAAATAGATAACTAAGATAAATTTATTGAGGTTAAGATAAGGTTAAATTTGTGTACCGTTAGTGTATCTTAATGTATACAAAAGCTTTGCTTTATTATCCAAATAAACTGCAAGATAGCATAAACGAAGGAAAATTTTCGGTCAGTACCTAAAGACATACTTCCAGACATCCAGGTTACGCCCATTGGGGGCACAGTACATCTTACGTTAATGGTCCAAGACAAACTCTTGCGGTCACTTGCCAGTATGGTCTGTTCCCAGCCAATACAACGAGATGTAGCATACATTAACAGCTGGCCTATTTAGTTAGCTGTCATGTCTTAAGCGAATCGAAAGCGGTTCCTTTGCTTGAGGGCCTCACTGCAGTAATTTTTCAGTATTTGGTACTGCACTTAAGGATTCTTGTTGGTTTGTCGGGCATAACAAGACGCTTGCCTCTGAATTGATTGCATTTATTGTAGTTTGACGTTGAATGCGTTCCTATGTAATATAGGTACAGATAATGCAAAGCCAAGTTTGTTTCTCATAAGAGATTTCGAGTTTGTGCACTTCAAGTAGATTAAACTGGTAACAGACTAATCGGAAGTTCATTTCAATACGTAGTGTGTAATGGATTAAGATTGAAAGGTCACAACGTACGAATTTTTTAAGCTAAGTTCGATAAGCTTGTTGTTAGGTGCACGTAAAAGCAAATCGACTGTTTTTAACAAAAAAAGTGGAGAACCTTTGCCAGTTCCGAGGCTTCGCCTAATTTCTAAGAGACAAAGTCCGATTGCTTGATGTCTTGTGTGAGCAACCATTGGTCTAAGTCCAGGCAATAATGATGATAGTTATTATTGTTATCTTCGTGAAGCATTGTCCTCAATTATAGAAGCGGTACGTGGCTATTGGATCTTGTACAGGAAATCAGACAAGAAAGCCTTGGCCAATAACTGAACCTCTCTATGACGTAAATGTTGTCTACTCAAGTACGTAACAAATGTATCTATGTGTATATATATGACGTCTGTTGTAGTGGAACGATTTACATACAAGTGCTACACCAATGTTATCCTTCATTTTCAGTAATTCAACCTGGACGTTCTTCCATTTTCTGCAGGGTTCTCCAGGGCTTGCAATACCAATTGTAACGACTTCAAGTAATGTTTTGTGCTGTGTATGCGTTGGACATGAAAGCTGATTCTTTGCTTTCATTTCAAACTAGCTATTCACGGTTAATTTGTGTGACGTAGCTAATCTCAAGCGTTATACACGGTCCCAATTAGTTTAACCATGTCGTTTTTATATTTATCCAATTCCTGAATCTTTTTTGCGCGTACTTTGCATAATTTTAAACAAATCTGATATTGCATGGACGGTATGGTCGATATATTATTTTTAGTTTCAAAGACAACAATATCTGGTGTCTAGAACTGATCTGATTTGGAGATATCAAGGGCGACTGATTATGTTGTGCCGTTTTAAAGCTTGCTGCTTTTAATTACCTTTGAGGAACTCATTTTTACAGGAACATTTTTAAGTGCGTTTTAATTTTGACAAATACTCGCTAATAGATTCTTGGATTATCATTTTGCGGACTGAGCGCGTTAAGAATCGCTAAGCAAAATATGAATAAATAAATCAGTAAATGCAAGTTTTCTCCACGAATATGTGTTTTATTATGTACAATAAATCTTCTTTATTACAATAATTACTAAATATGCAGTTTCAAGTGGACTGAAGCGACTGGTAGTGCGTTTGCTTGACTTTCAGATATGTTCATGCCAATGATAACTTCTGTTGAAACAGTATTAGCAAACGCTTCGGACGACACACGATTCAACCAAACGTAAAATGACGCCGTTCTAGAAATCAGTGTATTAATATTATAACAAAGCGTCTCTGTGAAATATAGTTTAGATTTCCAGTAATCTTGGGTTTGTCATTATCTGTACAATCTATTATAATGTTCAATTATCTCTGACTCGTTGACGTAGCATCGATTATTAGATTTGTTTTAGTGTGACCTCTGTTTTATAATGCCCAGTAGTGGATATAACTCAGTATGTATTTTACCTGTACAGGACCCGTGTACGACACGTTCGTAACTAACCCAAGGGTATGTTGTGATCATATTGAGTTGGTGTTAAGATCTTTCGATATCAAGTTCGGGAGTCATCAGTCAGTATTTTTCTCTTGACATAAAGTACAAATCGAATCTACTGGTTAGTGTGATTTATCAAGTTTTTAGCATCGAATATTTATATATCCGATTTGAGCAACATGCTTTAGCGCAAACATTATTGCCGTATAAACCACTATATAACGATTCTAATCTCAGAGTTTTATGGACGCATTTTACTCTGCAAATAATAAAAAGAGGTAAATAGATTTTATATTCGAACAAATCAACAAAATAATAGAAACAAAACACAGTACTGTCATTGAGTAGTGTAGTAAAAAAGTTTTGACATTAGTTAGTTAATCTTAAAGACGCGAAACTTGAAACACTTAAAAGAAAAACGAAAACGAAGCATCCCAATGGCATTACTTGTGGCTTGTTATTTGAGTCATAAGTGCTACAAACTGGGTCACAAGGCGAAAACACTCAATAGGTGGATACTACAAAATCATACACAGACGCGTATTCTAATAGTCCTCCCACGGGACTGGGGTTGCCTCTTGTAGAGTCCCCAGGTTTGTATTTTACTTTACCAAAATTGTCTACTGTTAAGATGAAACGGAACTTCAATGAACTACGTCTTCTCTATATCATTACCATTTGGTCGAAATATAGTTGGAATGACTTTTCTTAATTTTTATTAATCATTACAAATAAATACGCTGTGTTGGCAGGCATCGTAATTTGGTTTACTGTAAGGCGGTCGTTTTTTTTGATGAAATACGGCTTTATTAGATAAATTTGTTTGTGCCTATAATATATTAAAAGACCTATCCAATTTTTTTGAATTTCCGCACATATTTTGCGAGAGAAACCTAGATAAATTAGGTTAGCTGAAAAATATCAGAACCCCAGCTACTTTTACAGCTCCTTATCGCTCTCCAGATTCCCTATCATTTAACGTTGGCCAAATAAGCAGTTTGGCTAATAAAATGCTGATGTAAGGTATCGAAAATTTAGCTTTTTAATTGCCCTTCCTCCTTATTTGTCCTAGGGTGACGGCAACGGCTTGCTATCAGTATCTATGGAACGCCTCTCGAGTCCATACAAAGAAAAACTTCGACAAGTGGTGCTTCGTCATGAAGAAAGGCTGCGGCTGAGGTTCCTGAGAGAAGGCTCTCTGCCTCAACGCGCTCTGGCGCACTTCGATTGGGAAGCAGAGGTGAATAGTTTGGTATACTGATGTAATGGCATTCACATACTTCCTAACGTGAAGATAAGATTGCGCTCTCAAGGGTGCCACAGCTAACACCTGTTTGTCTGGATCGATTATACAGTCCAATATTACTGAGCAGCATGGCGAAAAGTGCGTACATTGCTTTAGAATATCACAATTATTTTCTACATCTTTACGTCGTTACTAATCCTTCGTTGCGTATATTTGGCTTGTTGTCTGTATGTTTATTTTTATTGATCAACCATTGATTGGCGTGACGCTTAGGTGGTCGTTGCAAGCAGCGCGTTGTCCTCGCAGGAAACGCCTCTCGTTCGTCTTTCGCTAGGTTTTCTAGGTCCCGACGGAGAATCTGTTCGAAATGTCACACTGGAGATGCAGAGTCGTCAACTTGATCGAACGATCGAAGAACTCGAAGCCTGTATTGAAGGGCGACTACCACTCGATGTCTCGGGCGGAACCCTAAAGAACTCTGAAATCGGATATGCAAATGGAGAGGTTCAACCTACTGACGATTAATAATAAAAACAATAATAGTACTATATTAATTGGTTCAATTGCACGATCAATAAACCAACGCCGAACAAAGCATAACGAAAAATATGCTGAAACATTCATTCGTTGTATAGACATAATGTTCAGTGTTTCCGAAAATTGACGCTTGAGCATGACCAATATGACCAATATATAACAACAGTACATATATATTTGATTTTCGGCACGAGTTACTTCGATTGGTATCAAAATTTTGACAAGATTTTTCGTAGCTGGCCCACACAATGTAACGTTGCAAAAAGTCGGGCAGGTGCGTGTGAGTAAAGCCATTGCAATTTGCCTCTATTTGACTCCTTAGGTCTATATCTGTGTCAATACTATTCTTTAATATAACATTCAAAAGTCACATAAAACTAAATAACTCATGTTAGAAGAAATTGACAAAAAAAATTGTAGAAATATATCGAATACTTCAACCAATATTTTGTTTGGAGGATGTCTAAAATGTCTGGTCAAATCTGGTTGAAGGTGATGCTCATTAGTGTGTGCCCATTAGTATCAAAAACGTTAATTTATACCATCTACTTATTTTCTTCTGTCTCGGTTTGTTCTGTGTTCTTTTTTTCTTTTAACGATAAATTAGCTTATCGTGGCACTCACCTATGAACGCAATTAACTTACGTATTCGAAAGTCAAGATTGATAACCATGGAAGCCTTCCTTCGAGTGGCATTCTGCACACCACAGGAGATACGGTTCTGCCATTGCATTCAGTGGCTGGTACACGGGTGCAAACCGTTCCAACGAACAACGATAACAAGCAGAATGAGTGCATCGGTATCAGATAAGAGATAACAGAAATCAAAAGAGCAACACTATGAAAACATTAATTTGGTTTGCGATTCTACATATTAAGGTTTTACACATGTGTGTGGGGTGGCGTGATGGGTCAGAAAATATACGGTAACATCGTAAGCGGACTTGGGCTGGGCCTGTAACGTAAATGTTATATCTATCGAAGTTAGCCAGTGCTTTGATATGTTTTGGAGACGCATTGTCGCAAAGGTTGAGCAGCCACACAACCAAATGAATAGTAGTGCGAATGCTTATTATTCACATTGACGATTGATAATGATGCAATAATACTACAACAATATTACAAACGATTCCACTTCGTAAGCTGACGCTGATAGTGAAATCGGGCCGGACAGCGTACCTGGGATTAAATGAAGCATGCAGTAGAAAAGTATTAGTTGGCTCGCTGTACCCATCACTGGTAACACAGTCTCTCATGTGTTAACGTAGTGAAGAGATAAGCCTAGGCTATAAAGGAGTAGAAAAGCAATTACTTCGAACGTATACAGAGATATATACAGAGTCGGCACGTGAATCATATGAAAGAATGCGTATTTCGTATCGCCCTTACGTCGTATAATAATACTGCGCGATGAACAAGTAACAAACAGAAAGCAATGTTTTTTTTTTTTATAGAGTTCGAGCCGTTGGCAATTGTTGGATTAAATTTGCGGGTGAAAAAAATAGAACAAGTTATCCATCGATTAGCGTAAGTGAAGTCCAACATTCGGCGTCTGACGGCCTCGATGTCTATCTATTCTAACAAAGACACTATTATCATCTAGGTTTTGGCGTTAACAGGTGTCAGTTGGTCACGTGGAGTCAACAAGAAGATATGGCTTATTTAAACAGAAAAATTAGCTGTCTAGATGCGGTGTGGGTACAATGCTTTGACACAACCATTCTAATAACAGGTGAACCGTACGCCAATATTCAGTCTCTAGCAGTACAACTGTACTATTAGCAGTAAAAGCAAATAAGCTTAGTATATGATATAAAGTAGTATATTATATGAATGAAAACAAGGGCATTGCCGTACCTAGATAACAATATATTATGGAAATATATACACTATTACTATTTTCTACTGAAAGATAGTAATACGAATCGCAGCAATATAGATAGCTAACAATAGATTGTTAACGTGGACCATGTCCATACTTGATGCGATCGACTTTTATTTACATTTTGATACACCATTATGTTTTGTACAGCACAGACAAGAAGGCCTGAAAGAAACATAAAAAAAAATAGTGAGTGTTATAAATGATATGTAGGATCATTCCACCCTGTAAAGGAATAAAAAAGATATTTTTCATTATCACTTGGTGTTTTTATTTTATAAAGAAATCATAATAACTTTGCATGTAAAAACATAAATCCTGCTAGCTTACTGACTGTACGTGAAGCTGGAGATTATAGAAGCTATTCGGTTTGAGCGTTGTTCTCATACTTTAGGTACTAAATGTCGGCGAGGGAGTTATTAGAATTTTTTTTAATAGAGTATTTTTTAAAGGGGTCGAGTACCGCTGCCGACTTAATGCAATTAAATGATAAGCTGTGTATTTTAAAAACTACGCTGTATTTACTAAAGCTCTTACACCTAGCTTTGTTATTCTTTATAAATTTTCTTTCGCATAGAAAATTGAAATCGTGGTTTTGCCGTCAGTTGTTTCCATTATATAATAGATTAAGTTATTGCAAAAAAAGACGAATTTGATGAAGTGATGTTCCTCGAAATGAGTGCATGTATTCTGGTAGTTTGCTATTCAGTTTTTCAGGTATGTGTCACGCTTATTTTTTTTGTGTTAACAGCAAGTTCATAGCCTCTACTGCTTATTCGTAACTGCCTAGCCCATAATAGACCACTAAGAAAAATGTTTCTAGTTTCTGAGTGTCCTGTGAATGCAAACAGTAACGTCGTTATGAACCACAAATGCACCTTGTTTCACTCTAATTAAAAAGTAATATATAATTACTAGTATCGAACTATTTATAATATTTAGTTTAAATTGTAATCTTATTCAAATGTATCGGAAATTCAGAAACGTCTCCAAAACACAAAAAAATCTGCCACTTATACTGCTTGTCCAGTGGCACCTACCGTCACATAATTAAGAGGAACTGAAGAAACCAAGCATAAGTTTCCTTGCCAGTGTGAGACAGATTCAAGGCGTAGAAATAACACGTGGTACGAACTATCTAATGTCAATAGACGTAGCTTTTCATTCACTTGTAGAATTAATAGTCAGCATAAAGTAAATATTTTTTTAATTTCGAAAATAGAATTTTCCATCCTAAGTTAAAATCGCACAGATAAAAAAAAATTTAAACCATGACAAAAAACTAATAACTTACAAATCACGCAGCTTATGACTCGCTATTCGGTTTCTGTCAGCTAGAGACAAAGCAAGCAAGTCTTACCTGACATTTATCCTTCTTAATGTGATTGAAATAATGTCACTGCTGCTTCCATGCTTTTATTTAGATCGTAGAATCTCTTTGCAGAACTTACTAACGGACATGAACGATATTGTGGAAACAGTTGACAACTTACATCAAAAATATACCCGGAAAACAGACTTATTTTGCATTTATCTCAAATGCGGCCGAGCTTACATCGAATTAATTATAAGCAATTTAGTTTAATTATTAACTTAAAAAAAGGATTTATTATTACTAAATCCCTAAACTTTTAAGTGTTTTATTTAGGTTATGACCTTTAAATTATAGTTGGCTAAAAAGTAAACTTTGAATCGTTATTTGACCGTTTCTTCCGTGAGAAACGTCATGAGTAAACTTTAATCTGACTCAGAAAAGAGTAGGTAAGCTTTTTTTGAGTTGGAATAAATTTTACTCGTATGAGCATATTGAGACGGAGTCAAACTGATTCGTTTACTTTCACCTGATGTGTTTATATTTATTTTCACAAACATGAATCTCCGAAAATGATTTTTGTGTATCGTTAGTATCTTAAGGCATTTCACTTTTCTGCGCTCCCTGCATTCCAGTTTCACGTGACCAACTGCTCGAATCAACGGATAATCAAGGAATGATTATAATAAGTAGGCAAACCCCTTCTGCTTTTTCTACACCCTATACTGAGCTCGTATACACTAGCAGTTATATTCTGATTTCAGTTCGACCCATTTAGGATCGAACTAAACTGAATTGGAAGAGGATGTTTTCTGCAGTCGTGTATATCATGTTTAATTTAAAATTTGCAACCTGCAGCTCCATCGAACCACAACTAGCGTGACGTCACGGAGGCGGTGGCCAATGAGGGTCGCGACGTCGCGTAAAATTGGATCCAAGTCACATTTCTTGAGCATTCGGCTTTTAAAAAAGTGGCCCTCAAAGGGACACTTTACGCGTGACTAGGTGGTCTCAGACTGCTTGACCAATCACTACTTCAGTGTGTTCAGCGTATGCTGAAAGACGGCTTTTTGGTGACGTGTACCTGTCATCTTTGAATTTGGCGCGTAACTAGATTTAAGGGGATACTTGTGGGGAGTGGGAGTAAAAATTAGTGATTGCGATTTGTTACATTTTTTTTTCCCAGTTTCTTGAGATAATTGCCAGCCTATGTGCATCATCTGATTATTAAAAGTCCCTCTGATCTACTTGATCAGCCGCTGGCGAGCCATTGGGCGAGGATGCAGAGTCAAAATTGGCGCGCGGCTGTCCCCTGTCGCCAGTATGCTACGCCAGTCTGCGGTAACCAATCAGCGAGCGACAGTCACGTGAAAACACGGCCATTGCTGAGGACCGACTTGGCTCAACGACGAGTGTCACTTACTCTGTGCAGAGCCTGGTGGACGTCGCAGCGGTAGTGCAGCAAGGAGCAGAGGCAGTTTGAGTGCTACATCTCTACAAGCCACCATTTACAACACAACAGTGTTCTTCTGGTTCGTATTGCCCAGCACGTTTGCTCATCCGGCGATTTTGAGCATATTAGTCGTTAACATCCCTTCACTGCAGCGTATTTGTAGCCGGTACAAAGGCTCCAACCAAACTTAATCGTCATGTCGGCAGAAAATCTAATCCCCGACTATTCCCCATTCTTTGGTGTGATGGGGGCCACAGCCGCCATGGTGTTCTCTTCGTTGGGCGCAGCGTACGGTACTGCCAAGTCAGGCACGGGTATCGCCGCAATGTCTGTCATGCGACCAGAGTTGATCATGAAATCGCTCATTCCCGTTATCATGGCAGGTATTATCGCCATCTACGGGCTCGTCGTGGCTGTACTCATTTCGTCTGGCATCAGCTCGCCTTACAAGTTGATTAAGTCATACCTGCACCTTGGCGCTGGCCTTTCTGTTGGCCTTTCAGGTCTGGCTGCCGGTTTCGCGATTGGTATTGTTGGTGATGCTGGGGTGCGTGGCACAGCACAACAACCCCGCCTCTTCGTAGGAATGATCCTTATTCTTATATTCGCTGAGGTACTAGGTCTTTACGGCCTGATTGTAGCCCTGATCATGTTCTCGAAGGCATCGGGTATTGCTTAAACAACAACAGCCGAAAATCATCACCACCAATAACGACTCGTATCTCTACCAAATATCACCATCGCCTCTAAACATCGCATCTATAATATCAGCAAGCGTAGAGGGACAGAACGAGAAATCAAGGAGAGTAGGTGTAGTTAATGGCCTCCGAGTGTCAGCCAGCTCTCGCAGACACAAACGAACAATTATAGTAATAGCCATGAGCAGGCAGCGTGGTAGACAGGACATTGAGTACACCGTGATGGGTCGAATTAGCAAAAAGGAAGCAATAGAACAAAAGACTTAAGAAACAAGACCAAGCCATAAGATGAAATAGCACCGAAACCAATATAAGGACGTCTCCCAACTCAACAGCAAATGGGTGACCAGCGTGGCAGGTTACTCGGGATGGAAGAAAGCACTAACCTTATAGAAAGGAAGACGACGAAGACCTCGGAGGAGCTGCAACACACTGCAGCAGCAGGCGAGATGACGATGATCGGCGAACTTCGGAGAAGTATCCAATATATCTGAGATCGCACATTTACAACTTATTGACAATAGAAAGAAAAATCATAATGTGACGTAGAAGAACCTAATAACCGTATCCCTCCCCTATTTCTGCCCGAGTTCATTGGGCAGAGGCCTTGTTTTTGCTAAATTAGTTTCTATACAAGTGACATATATGCATATATACGATGAAAAGTGATGGAAATACGGATTAGTTTTACCATAAATTATAGGACGTAAGAGAGGTGAGGTTGACTCTATATATATGCCACATATAGAAAAATGCAAAATATACAATTGACTCCCTGCTCGTTGAATCAATTCCATATTTCTCGTTGAAGCATACAAATTCTTCTGTATATTATCATATCCAGCTTGGAGCTTTTTATTAAAGATCGAATAATTAACGCGACTGAACTAAACCGACTTTTGTGTACCCCCTGTACCTAGAGCAGGTGTCTCAAGCTATATGCCTATATCAAGCTCGCCACTGCACCAAACCACTATCAGCAGTGTTAGGCTTAACGGGCCCATTAGGGGTCTTCGGGGGAGCTCGGACCCCTGGAACACATTAAGTGAGGGGCTTCGAACGTATGGTGGCGTTTGGAACGCGTGCGTGTGATGTAAAATGACCGCGTATAGTCAACGAACGATTCGTTGGACTCGACTGGATTGATGGCAGACGGAATGTTCCACTTACATAAGTGTAATAGTAATAACATAATTATGATGACGATATAGAAACAGTTAATTTCGAACTCAATAGAAGTCATCTGCGTAACACATTGTGCGATACGGCTTGTATTTGAGCCGATTAAATTTTTCAGCTAAGAAAATTTGCAACGGACAGTATGTGAATGTTGATATTATTCCTATAGGTAGAACAATAGCACATATATATAGAAAAAGATAATATGTCATATAAACATACACAGCAAAATTAGCAGCTAACTGACTAGCACGAATCCAATGTGAAGAATTACAACAACAAAAAATTTTTAAAAAAAAACAAAGTCCATCACCTTGAAAGCAAAGAAAATTTTTCTAGATAATAATTACAACCGTGATGTTGACAATGATAATATTGATTGAATAGGAAATTGTTAAGGTGATACAATATTGAGAAAAGAAATGATGGCGATGCTGACGGTGGAGATGACAATGATGAAGACCGCTATTACTTGGGTTGAAAAACACGACAGCGCAAGCGGAAGAAAAAGTAAGAAAAAACAGGACAGGTTAGGGATAGTAATAATAACATTATTACAAGAATATTTGCAAAGGTAAAGGAAGGAAAGGGGGCTTAAATTTTTGGAACAGGCAGAGGCTGGTTTAGTGCAAACAAGTGGATAGAGTAAATAATATTGATGATGAGTTAGGTGGGACTATGGGAAGTTAAAAGGAAAAAATTTCGGATAGTTATTCTATTTGGGCAGACCAGACGAAGTCGTCTCTTTGCAGTGCGCGGTCTAGCGACAACAGCAGTAGTTGGTACGGCAACAGTAATAACAACACGAATCGAAAGCGCGCTGCTGTATTATGAACCGCAGTTGGGTAAACGTGCATAAGAACTAAATGCGGTATACTTAAGTGAAAATGATTTGAAATGTTACTGTACAGTTTTACGTTTGTTGTATTGTGAATGCATGAATAAAACCAATATGATTTTAATCGAAATGTTACGTATGTTATTCTTTTTTATAATATTTACTATCATGAAACGTGTATGTAAAAAGACCTGGTATATGAATTAGTGGGATTTCAAGAATTGTCCATAGATTATATTTTTGTCATAATATTCTAGTGACAAAAATATAACTAAAAAAAAAGTATGAAGAGTAATAAAAAATCAACATCTATGGTATAATCAACGTCTTATTGCATCGATAATTACATTTAGGATAGAAATCAAACGGGTTAAGTTTTCATCCATATTAGAGGTGCTCTCCCATTAGGAGGACTACTAAGTTGGCTCTAGTGTAAAATACAGCTCAACTGTTCATTTATACGAATAGAGCATATAATTAGTAATCGCGGCCAACATTAGACGATGCATCTAGATTCTATGGAGGTGTTAGATTTTGTTACCTAGTCACAAATGATTATGAATAGGAGGTAACCAATATATCGTAAACGGTATTCTAAATTGTGTTCGAGCAACTACATATCTATGAAGTATTTCATAGATATCATTACGCAAGTAAATCATCTATCACTTTTCTCTAATGTAATTATATAGTTTTTCATTTTGTTCATTTAAACATAGTCAATTATATTTAGTTTTTCAAGCGTGTATATCGTGAGATGCGTCAATTTCCTCTCAGCTTCATAGCATTGGTCTCTCAAGTGCGACGAATAAATCGCAAACCTTCACCTTTTTTCCAAAAAAAAAAAAGTAAAACTAAGAAAAAAAGTGAAGAGCACCACATAATTTTGGTTTGTCTACTGCTAAGCACTTCTTTTGTATTCTGCTGTTGGTAGATAAGACAAGTTGCTGTGCGGTAGTGGATGCAAGAACCTGGTGATGCCGCGTAGTTTTACGATATCGACTAGATTGACGGATCGACGGCCGGCCAATACAGACGAATGAACGAGTGCTTTGTAACTGTTGGGAAGCAGATGATTCCAGTGCTAGCGTCACATGACCATAACCCTTACAAAAGAACGTGTGAGCGTTGCAGTACGACGATGGCGACGGTCAAAGCGACAGGCCCGACTACGGCAACTAAAGCTGCTTCGGTTACGAGACGATTCAACGCGGCAGGGCATTTGGCATGTGACGATTTTCAAACTAACTAGTCAGCCAACTTAAATGCAGCAAGAACAAGTCGTCGGTTTGGGTGTCTTTTAAAGCGTCCACGTACGCTCTGCTGCAGGTATTGCTTGGATTGGCGTACTAGTGAACCGCTGCTACTTAGCCAGATATGATCCTCGGCCAAACTACGTATCGACAGCTAGTAAAACGAACTTAATGGAACTCCTACAAACGATACGCTTCGTGGGCGGGCGGATGCAACTGTGTTTTATTAATTGATATGTGGTTAGTTGAAATCGCTAAAGAGTCATCCTTCCTAGATGCCTGACGAGATACAGCTGGCTGTGTACGTTTCATTCTGGATGCTGTTGCAATCTCAGCGATGTCCTGATTGCCATTACTTCTTTTTCTACCACATTGAATAGTCTTTCCCCCTGCCAATCATGCTGTATATGCCATGCTGCTATTACTGAGTCCTCTTACCTGTAAAGCTCTGGTCTGTAAAAATATAAGTTGACAACGTTTCCATGTATTCCTGCTGCCGCTGCTGCTTATGGCGGGGATGGCTCTTGCTCGTTTGCTATTCTCTTTGCTGTTACTACGGCGAGATGAGGAAAAAATATAGTCTAAACTCTAGGTTAAATCTGAGTTGGAGTAAAGTTTGTGTATCAGCCTGAGAGTACGGGCGCCCGCGGTACGATATGACAATATATCACAACTGCATTTATCTCCTTTTCCTACTCTGTCAACTGCTTTGAAAATTTGCAGATTTTTTGAGCAGAACGAAATTGACCACGCCGGCGATTCAGAATAACGTTTTGGGTTTTCAGGCTTATTATCTTTGAGTAATCGTCGATTCTAGTAGTAGAGGATATAATCGTAAAATTGTCATCAGTATAAACAAACAGAACTGGAAAACGGAATTATCCGTTAATTTTCAATTTATCATTGGATTAGAGCACACTTTTCAGTAAAAATCTAGGAGCTGGCAACCGAGTATCACCAACAGCTGTACTATACGATTTAGCTAGACACTTGATCTTTCTTGAAAGCAATATAGAATTGTTTACATGAAAGGCCTTGTCTGAATTAAAGGTGCGGCTTATAATATAGATCGGCCATGCAAACAAAAAGATTTAACTGGGTATTTTTGATAAATCGCCACAAGACGCATTTTAAGTGCTTATTAGTTAAACGTTCATTTCAGATTTAGTTGAAGGAACATTCGCTGAGACATTTTTATTATTCTGATGAACTGTGTACCGAACGAGTGACATCGTATACTTAGCACAAACATAAAAACACTGCCTACTAACATTAATTGTATTTTCTTGATTGAATTGATTTCCACGGTGGTGTCTCTTAGAGATCTTTTTGTTTAGAATCATCAAAACGAGATTGTGTTTATTTAAAATTTTCACAGCCGAAAAATAAACAAACAAACAAACTCAGTTGAACGTGCCCGACGACATAAAACATGCGATCGAATAATAGAAGTGCTGCTGATGCTTGCAAATAGTTTACTCGTGCTGTATAACATAGGCATGTTTACACCCATTGATGTCTCCTTGTCATTCTTCCTTTAGAGCAGGTCGCCATGTAAGACGGATAGAAGTTGATCATTCACATTGGAATAATAAAAGTTAGTTGACCTGAGCGCGTTAATTTTATTTGTATCCACTTTCTTCGGCTAAATACCCTATAAATGTGTATTATTATTATGTATTAAAATCTAGTGAACTGTAAAATAACCAGTGACTTTTCTAAACCTTTACCTAACTTTAGTATTAGTATCTATACTATATATCGAATGCATATATCTTTGAAAAATTATAAAATCTGTTGACATTTAAAAATAATTTTATTGTTAAGAAAACCTATCATTTAAAATAAACTTGCTTAGTTGAACTAAACTTCTACAGTATAGGCCGTGGTATTCTTTCGCGTAATTCTTTTAGGTTTGAAGAAGTAATTGTGACATAATAGAGCGTGGAATATAGTTTGAAGTTTTGGCTTTAAGCTATATTTCGTGTTATATTTCTGTAATATTTTATTTGTTCTTCAAGGTAACTATTCGTTTTCAAATATTGAGCTTATAAAAATTTCAATTCTTGTGAGGGGCGGACATAGTATAAAATGCTGATGTGGAACGACACAAACAATTATTTTGCAGAAAAATGTCTCGTCATAAGTAAAGTTCTACCGTTGTAGTGTAACTCAACTCTACATCTTCTATTTATCAATGCTGTGCCTAGATTGAAGATAACTGCACTGCACGCCCTATATTTGCCTCATTAGGTCTTTAAGGATACGACTGAGTATGTCGTTGACCTAGAACTTAGAGTAATATTCTTTCAAAACAAAACCCAATCTAAATGCGTAGTATTAGCTACACCATTTAATTTCGCCACTCCCTCGAAAACCTAAAAATTTCAAAATGTCGTTTTTTTTAAATCTATTTTTATAAATGCCGTCAGAGTTTGTAGAGTAGTCTTGCTAAATAGTACTTATGACTCAGTTGGTATCAATCGTAGCCAGCATCTGCCTGATACAATAACACATTGAGCATTTTCGACAATTCAAAAAATAGAAAAATCTGCTTCTTTAACGGTCAGGTTGGACAAGTGCCTCTGAACATAGGGTAGCGCACGAACTAGCCACATGTCGTTAGCATTTCTGGCTACGTCCGTTCCAAACTCCAAGTAGGTTTTTAAAAATATGTAAAACCAACAAAAATATTTTGAAATTGAGAATATCTACGTATAATATATATCGTAAATTCAAACTATCTGATGGGAACAATTCTGCTGTAGATCTTGATTGCGCTTGAAATTAATCAGATTAAATATCAATAAGCTGTTTGTATTTTGAAACGGGACCAAACGAATCCACTACAAGCTGAATCGTTTCTAAAAAACGTGATAATCAAAATCTTTTTTAAATTAAAAAAAAAATGGCACAGTTTTGGTATGTTTTTCATTTTCAGGTGGTATGTTTTTATATTGTGCTGCTTGTTTGCTACGCCTTGCTCTTTTACTGTATAAATATATTAGTTTTAAGTTTTACAGCCGGTACTACAACTATGTAGCATTGCTTATCTCCACAAAAGCAAACACTGGCTCCCAGCAGGAAACAAACTGTGCCTTCGCTCTATTTCGAATCTAGTCCACCTTGGGTGTTCCTAAGTTTGGTAGACAAACGGGTTACTACTGCAACATCACGTGGACGTAAGGTGCAGCAACGCCTTAGATTTAGCCATCACTGGCCGTCGCACGTGCGAGCATTCTAACATTACCCTCATTTATTCGCTTTTATTTAAAACATTTTCCGTCCTTGATGGTCGCAATGTTTTGTAGCAGAGCACATGCTATCAGCTATTTGTATGGAAATTAACAACAACTACGTCGCTTTTAAAAAACTGCGTAAACTTACTGCCAGTAGTACTGTCGACGATAACGATACTCATTCTAAGTTACATTTAATGTGATCGTCAAATGATCACGCCAACAATATGCTAGTTCTATGCAGTCTGTATGCTGAGTCGTGGAGAACCGTGGCCGTAGTAAATTGATTAGCATGAGAATCAACATCAACGTAAGCTAAAAACCTGGCATTAGTCATTCAGATATAGGATTTACATCTCATCTTAAGAAATTAGTGTTTTATTAACTACCTTTGTAAGACCACAACTAACAAAATTCAACTTTAAGTCTTACTCCCTTTTTGGCCAGTGAAGTTCACTTGTGGCAGAAAGCTAAGTTAATTAGTTGAGCTAACTCTTCAATTAAGTCGATTCGAATTTTGCAAAACTCAAGCGTAGATAAACATATGACGTATTACCGATGAACATGATTGATATGCTGAGAACTAAATATAATGCTTTTACAAGTTTATTATTAGGACTTCCTTTGTACATCAGGCTGTACTATCGATCTTGTTCGACTGTTTCCAGTAGAGTATTCATAGGAAGTACAGCTGTGCGATAATATTTGTTTGGAGTTTTTTTTTGCTGCAACGCATAAATAAATTTCGAGACAATTAAATTTTTCCGTTTTCCCTTTTCAAGCGTACTCCTTTTTTTCACAAGGCGTAAAACTACAGCGCACCCATGCTTTCTCGGGAACAAAGGAATGTCTAAAATAAGACGCTACTTACCGAATGGTCTATAGGTTAATTAAATTTTAGACAGTAAAGTTAAAGGAAAATTTTCGATGATAAGGCCGTGGCACTTTTGTGAAAGACAGCATTGACTGATATAGTGGAAACCGGATAACGAACATTGAGATACTGTCACTATTGAACTCAACTATTTTAAAAAATGTTCGTGCTCGAAATATGAAGTAAAAATGACTCCACTTCACATCCTATTTACACTCAATAAAAAATAAAGCGAGCAAATTTGACATCATAAGCCAGGCAAAAACTAGGTGCTTTTGTACCATGGCAGTGATTTGGAATTAACGGCTTTTAGCCGTTATCTCGGATCATAGTTATAGCCAGTATAGAGGATATTGTGCAAAAAGCGAAAACAGCCGTAATGAAGGATTGTCGAATTATCCTTACAGGGCAGGCAGAAGTGTCAAACAAGTCATCCCGGTCCATAATGAAAGGTCATTTGTAGGTGAAAACACTAACAGCAAGGGCCGCGCTGAAGGGCCTAAGAAATTTGGTCCAGGAAATGCGGACCTCGTCCCAAGAGAAACTTGACCATTTAAAGGAGCCTCGACTTCCGTACACATTAGCATTCTCTGACCTTTCTCTGTTTCCAAACTTCAGTCGATATCTGGAAAGACAACAAAATTTGACACTTGCCAGAAGATCTAAGAATAACTAAAAGCAGAGCTCGACTTACTGGATTTATTTCAAAAAAGGGTTACTAAGGAAACGGTGGTGTAGAATCAGGTGGAAGTTATTCCTAAGGAAACAAGTGAAATTTCAATGACTGGGTCATGGCAAGCTGCTACAGAGCCAAATGATTGATACTTTTTTTGATACATCAGTGTCTGTATAAGTTAGCCCAAACAAAAATGATAATCGAAGTTGCGATCCATCTATTTATAAGACGATGCTGCATATCTAATATATTCAGCACAGCGTTCCTAAAGAAATTTGAGCGAACAACTG